CTTCAAACTTTTTCCCCCAGTACAATGTTGACATCAGTATCAAAGGATCCATTCACATGCTGAGTGACATACAAGTTGAAAAAATCACAGAAGTGATGGTTTACAACTGCAATAAAGAAAATCTCCTCAATAATAATTAATATTAAATTTATGGTAATTACACAGGTGATACATGAGAGAAATAATGAAAAAGAAATAACTGAACTCTTCTTTATTTCGGACCATTTATACCATTTTGTGATGGTTACATTGTGTCCTAAGTATAAACCAGGCTTTAGAGATGTTAAATGGAAAATACACAAACCTGCATCTAATTTCATGAAGAAAGTAGGTTTATCCACCAGGATATCACAGTGTTCCTCCTGGTTTGGTTTAAAGGACAAGGAAGAGAAATCTTCTACTTCATTTAACCTGGAAAAAGTAGTAACACAAGGAATTAGGGAAAGATAGTGAAGTTTATTACTAAATTAATCTACAAAGGAAACAAACTGTGAGGTTCAAACTTAATTTCAAAGTAAACTTTCTCTATTACTTTTTGCCATTCATCTTCACTGTATAATATATACATTGACAAAGAAAAAAGATAATAATGGTTAAATTTTCTATGTTCGCATTGACTAAATTGTGCAAATACTATACACACAGATGAAAAGGCCGTAGGGTATGTTGACTAGTCCATAATTTGCAGTCAATGTATCATCAAAGATATGATTTTACCATGAACTAAGCTCCATTCTGTGTTTTCCCTCTTCACTGTCAGGGCATTAGCATCCACTTCATAAAACCCATCAATTTTCTGAGGCTTGAATTTATCTGTCTTTGATGTGCTAGGTATTGTGGTCATGACAACAACAACATCAGTTTATTAGACAGCAACAAAAGAAAGTAAATTGATCATGGTACAAATATAAGACTAGTAATAATTAATTATATTTTTTTAAGTTTTAAAACAAAATTAATACTAAGAGTATCATCAAAAGGTAAATTGCTTCCAAGTTTCAAACTTCCTCTTTGTTATAAAACTAAAACTGTTTTCATATCAACTATTCTCATGTAATGAATAGTGAAAATTAAAGCCTTGGGGTCCTAATGTCTCCAAGGAAAATTTTAAAAAATCCCATCTCACAATAATTACAAGTTGAGGGTTGTCTAATTACATATGTAGCAAACAAACATCATAAAGGAGTGCCTGCTAATAGGGATCTAATTTTCCCCACAAATTCCATTTGAATTCATTTTTTTAAAATATGAATTTCAAACAAAATCAATCATAATGAATGTAAAATATGATCCTCAGAACAGTGTCAATTTTGCATTTTTTATTATTATGAAAGCCTTATTACTCTCACTTGCAGTCAACCAAAATTGATGGCTAAACAGTTTTTTCTCTGTAAGGAAAATCAGTTGTGTGTTTGATAGACTATTTTCTTTTGATCTATATATCACTAAAAATAGGTGTCATCACAAATTTATTAAGTCATTTCAGTTTTTCAAAATTTGTCATCAACAAATAACATTGAATGTATTTCCAAACAGAATCTTTACTTAGATCTTCCTTCAGTTTGTATCTTTGTCCATTTGGCATATTCCTGAAATCCATGAATAGATGTTTTACTTTGCAGTATGTTAGCTGCTTGGAGCAAACAAGAGATGAGGCATCTGCCTGGAAAGTTAATGATAGATGAGCCATTTAAGTTGAGCATTTATCTCCAGTTAGCCTCTAGTCATATCCTTTTGGAGACTTGGAGTATATTGTGTATTGATTAGGAGTTTTTAACTCAAATATTAGTAGTATCTTTTTAATTTGATCACCTGCTTGTTGTACTGTCTCTATGATGGTTGGAGTTGGATTTTTAATTGTCATTTTAAGTTTGATATTATGAAGAGCACCAAGACAGTCAGATGATGCTTTATAATTATAAGGCTCAGCCAAACCTTTAGGTGCTGCTGGCAGATGACTTTGCCAATGTAGCCAAAATTATGTCTAAACGTTACTTGATCATACAACACTTCACTGTTCCTATTTTTCCATGCATTCCTCGTTTCAGATTCTAACCTGGGTTTCCTTTGGTTTACAAACCAATTGTAAACTGTCCTGAACAGATTTCACAAAACCAAAATCACTTTCTTTCCAGAACTGGTGAATTTTGTCTTCAATCCTATAACATATATTGTATTACATAACAAATCGAAATGAAGAATCAATTTCAGATCATCATTTAATGTATAGATATTCTACTTTCCATGTAAACTTTCTATCGCTAATAATAATTACTGTATGTGGTCTTAACATGCTAACTGCAAATTGATAATAGAATAAATGGATCATCAAACTTACTTTTGAGTTATTCACTCTGAAGAAGAGCTAACGCTCGATATGTCAGCTTTGAAACTCTTCACAGTGGCTGATTTACACCATCAACTCAGTTGATAATACTAAATTACCCCATTATACTCTCCCACCAATACAGTACCACTATTTTTTTCAAAAAACTTACCCCCTTTATTTCTTTTGAGTAAGTCAGGCATACAGAAATAAGCTTAAATTAAGGGTGTTTCAAGACATGAAATATCACTGTGTTAACCCTCTGGTCCCTAACATCAGTATGTATATTCTCCAAACTGTTAATTACACATTTCCTCAGTACTGATGAGGAGACTTTGTCTAACAATTGAAGCTCCTCTAGTTGCATGATGATCAATTCCTTTAGTCTCATGAATTAAATGTGTGATTCAAGGATGATATCTTAAGGTGAAATTAGATGTTAATCACTCTTGGGAGGTAAAATGGTTAACCTGTTCATGCCAACAAATGATCAAAACTTTTTAGGGAATGATTAAGTATTTTTATAATAAAGGTTAAAAAAAATAACAAAGACATTTTGAGCGATCTCTGTTTGCTGCTGGTGTGTTTTGTCTTGAGCACCTAATGTGAATCTTTTATCAACAGCCATTACTTACATTCTAAAATGTCTGCCAGACATGTTGTCATCACACTATGGTTTGATGTACCATTTAAGCGGTGAAGTGCACCCTGGCTCATACCCCCAGAGCCCTATCTGAAGTTCCCTGAATATAAAAACACAGAAAATTATGTCTAAAAATTGAATAGTTCAGTTAAATTAGTTTACACAATCATATGAATCAAAGGCCTAATGCCATTCCACATTTTTTCTTGGAGTTAAAGTATTCCAACCATTTGACCATTGCGCTTCTCACAGCCTGAAATTGCTGTCTGGAAATGTTAGGAAATATCTTAATTACTAAATTTAAAAAAAATTAACAATTTTAAGTCTTTGTATGACCAGTAACATTTACATACTGTTTTTACTGTTTATCACTAATAAAGACAGTCTGAGTTTAATGTAGCACTTATCTATTTTGATAACTAGTGACCATTTTTAGAATGAACTGCTCAATTTATAATGGTAGTAGGACCAAGTGGAGTCCAATTCGGTCTGTAATTAATTTGTAAGTGATTAACAAAATTGGATGACCCTGAAGTGGGGGTCCAATTTATCACAAGTATAATTACAGACAGAGTTGGACAACATGAAGTCCTGTTACCAATTAATCATAACCATTAAAATTTCTGAAAAAAAAAAAAAGAAAAGAAAAAAAAAACATTTAGGACAAACATCTCCACTAAGGACAATGTCTAAAGCTAAAAATTTGGAAATTTCCCAGTTTTTTTTTCAGAGTAAGTGGTTGTTGCTATGGTTATTGAGATCAATTCTGTGATTGGTGGATTTAGCTGAATGGACTTAGTATAATTGGCTGCTTCAACTGTCCAATTACAGGTGTCCAATTACAGCCAACTGTCCGAATACGACAGTACAGAGTGATAAGTGATATATAAAGCAGTTGATGCACCAATCACATCTGAGGAAATTGTAATGGCTATGATGAAATTGATAATGGAGTGGAGTAGTTGTACAAACCTCAAAGTTTTGTGAATTGGAGAGAATAGTTCAGAGAACACATATCAAGAATTAAAGGAGACAAGTTCTTAAGCTGATTCAACTTGTAAGCTGATATAAATGAAATCTGGTTTCCAAATGACTGGATACCTTTAATAGAGTCTCGTCTCCTCAGTTCGAGCTCGTTTCTTGAAATGCTCTAAGATAATTACTGATTGTTCGGTTACACGAGATTCAAGGTAACATTTAATAAGCAAATAAATTTACGATCAGCTCTGAATTCCACAGATTTTTAACCACGATCCTGATTTTCATTAACGATCGTGTCAAATCCACAACTTTCCCAAATACACGAAAGAAAAAATTTGAAACAAATATTGGACCGACGTCAAGGAACAACTGTTAATCATGTAAGATTCCTAGGAGATGTACCTCGCATTTTCCGAGTTTTCTGCAGGTATGTGGCTCCGGGAACCGTCACGGGTTGAAAAGAAAGAGTCTCCTTCTCGATTGGCATTCTCAATTTGATCATTAGCTCCCTGGATTCCAGCTAAAATGATCGCACACACTTCGGAAAAGACGAAAAACGAGCCCGTTAAGTCCATGTTTATAAACTACGGCCGAGTGGTCCCAGGCGTTCCTTGTGGAGACCTTGGAAACTGGGGACGAGATCATGCCTACATCCTCGTTTTTCAAAGTTAATTACCTAATCCCAAGCTACCAAGAAAAAACTCACTCCTTATTCCTCATATACTCCTGAAGCAGACTCGAGTTAACGCTTTCAACAGCGTCTTGTTTTGTCAGGCTCCGCTGGAATATTGATTTTACAGCAAAAAAACACTTTCTTTTCCTCATTGTTTTATCTTTATTTGAACCACAAGCTTAGTTACATCTACATCTCTTTCATAGAAGTATTTTATTTTTATGGCTTCGTCAGCGGTTTTAATTTTGAATAATAATACATGCACTTCTGACTTGTTTGAAAACTTTAATTTTAAAACTAAAGCACATGAAACCTTATGTATCAGCCGAGCGCGCAATCATCTCTTGGTTTACACTATAACAGCACCATATTGAACCTTAGAAATCCTTCGGACGGATTTTCAACTCAGACTTCTGAAGAGCTTCATTTTTATCTTTCCAGGTACTCCACACCATTGCATCGCGGTCAGTTTTACCATTCCTGTACAGGCTATTGAGGTTTGATTGATAGCAATCATTATACCACCAAGCGCCTTTCACGAAGGATGCACAGTTGATTGCGCTGTGGTCATTATCTCGATCTTTAGTGCTGAATGGTAGGCCGCGATGAGAACTGAGAGAATCACCAGCCGTGCCTGAAAAAAATAATTTTCAGTGAGAATTTTATGATAATGTGCCTAAAAACGTGAAAGATTTGTTTTACTGCTTTTTAATTGAGATTGAAACACTTTTCATAATGAGTATATATTTCCTAAACATCAATAACCTACAAGTATAATCGTATTTGAAGAATTCATTTTGAAATCAAGAAAAATATGATAAAATACTTTACTTCCTCCTCTTTCCACATCGGTATTGCCGACAAAATAATTATTCTTACACCGTACAGCTACTTTCAATTCTACCTGCGAAGTTTACTTGAGTAACGTTACTTCCTAACACCACTTCAAGATTAAATCAGTTTCACCTGAATAAACTCCCAAACCCAGCAGGTATTTCGCCCTTTCGCTCCTCACAGAAAATGAACTGTACACTGCAAACGCTGTTTTACCATGAAAGTCTTCCAAGTCAACACGAAACTTGTTTCTGCTGTTTGCAGTCAGGCGGTGAATCTTGTCCAGTCCGAGCCAAAACTCGCCGGTCAGATTGCCGAAGCCCTGTTTGTAGTCATTCCAGCCGCGGAAAAAATCTACTGCACCGTTATATCTCTTTTGAAACACCGTCCATCCTCCACCGGCTGTTGTCTGATCACAGAAGACTTCAAATTCTCCCAAACCATCAGGATTGATTTTGTATACACCACTAATCTTGTAGCCTGACTTGTAAACTTCGGCGCAGTTCTTATAAACAGCTGAAAGAAAAAAGAGAGAAAGTGAAACCGAATGAGCACCAAGTCAACTAAATCGTCTTCGTTCAATCTAAAAGTCATTTTCTCACCAACCTTTCCCATCTTGCTTCTCACAAGTTTGGTTCTTCTTTATGTTTCGGATTTCTTGTTCAAGTTTGGTCAGTTGTTGTTGAATGTCGGAAAACATATTTTCTATTTTCTTGGAGTTGGGACCAGCGTAGAAATAGTTGTTATTGACACCACATTGCGGATGATGTTTCGTATCGTTATCGGTTCTTGCTGTTTTAGACGACACTTTCGTCGAGTTGGAAAGCGCCGTCACGAAAAAAGAGAAGAGAAGAACTTCACAGAGATGTTTCATCGTGAATCTACGTCCGAAAACTTGCTGCAAGTGCAAGTGATTGCTATAACTGATCCACTGAAGGAATTATTTTTCAACACTGAACCGAGTTTATAGAATGTTGTGAACAACCTTTGCTATTCGAGCCTTACAACAAGATTTTTCGCGTGTCCGCATTCTATTTTAGACATGACACTCATTTACTCATAACAATAAAGTGTCACTATTGTTTAGCCACCGTGCTTCACTAAATTTGTTATTCATATTTTGTCCATTTACTCAGGGACCGGCATCGTTCCTAATGAACGACCCGGCAAATGAAATGGACAAACACTTGTTAATAACTACTGAACCTATGAGAAAAAAAAGCCTTGTTACTGATGTTTGGTCGATTTGAGTCGAGAGAGGCATAGCGTCTGAACCGGGCTAAGAAAATTGGATCGTCAAAACCGGTCTCATTTACATTTTTGCCGAAAAGAAACTGATTTTAATAAGCATTGCATGATAAAGAAATTGATTGTTTTCCAATGGTTTGGGATTGGATCCTCTAGAATTGATTATTTTTGTGATCCTGCAGAGCCAATAGCTGAAAATAGTTTATCGAATGACTTTTCATGCCGAAGCTTCACAGGTGCATCAAATACAGGAATGGCAACTCAATTGCGTGACTGAAGTTGGGTCTTTGATAAACAAATGTTATTCACTGGCTGACACGGTTATAATTCTTGACTGAATAGTTGCAAAATCGATAGCGCATGTAATACATTGCTACAGAAGTAGTCTGTGAGTAGGCCCTTACTAATATTAGCTCTGCAGCACAAGCGCGCCTTCGAGCCGGAGAGAGGTCTTCTAGGGATCTGGCACAAGTACCAGGTTACCCGCGAGCTAACGTTTCTCAACGCCTCGCACCGATATTCGCAGGCCAAGAAATGTCCGTATTGAGGCGCTAATAATGCTCGCTGGCTACTCAGGGACCGTGCAGAGGGAGGGTCTGGGAGGTGCTTTAGCCTCCCCACCTTCTTGCAAAAATAAAAATAAGTTAACCAAAAAAAAATTTAACAAAAATAACGGAGCCAAAAATAGCCCCCCCCCCCACTCAACTTGCTGCGCGGTCCCAGCTTTTTTAGTAAAACAAGAGGCAAATTAATAAAAATGATTATAGTAAAAATTGGGTTTTATAGCCGGATGTTTCCATGAGGCCGAAACTACAAAAAAATTGAACAAACAAGTTTACTGCGACTGGACTGATACATCCATCCCAGGTATTGCAAATTTTTTCCAGCACCCACCCTCCAAGTCTCTAGTTCAAAGGGATAATTTTTATGGATGAAACAAGTCAAAAGTGGGTGAGAAATATTTGAACACAATATTTTGGAATTGTTAGGCGCGAGAAATTGGTCGGTAGACGTAAAATGACGTGAGAACAGAATGTGGAGTTCCGCAACGCAAATTATTCGAAATGAAGCAAGGCCTAACGAAAAAAATCAATAAGCTGATCCCTATTTGCGTGGATTAGCTATAAAAAAGTTTGCAAGGCTTCTTGATCAAAAATTATTTTATGTGTACTTCCACAATAGGGCCTCTTATACCTTTAGCTGATAAATGAAAAAATGCATGTGGTAGTGATGATGATCACTCCATTGTCTACAATCTGCGGCCACCTTAAACTTTGTCGTATGCAACAGCTGATGATGGGAAGTGTTCAGAATGGAAAAGCGAGAACAACATCATAAAGCCAGTTTGAAATGGAATCCTGAAGTAAAACACATAAGGCATGAATGTCTATTCATTTGAGAAGGAAGGTGACAGTATAGATTTCTGTAGGAATTTACAACTGGATAAGAGAGTGGATGGAACAAGATTGTGGGCAGTAAAAATTTTTTTGCTTCCCCCACTAACCCTTGGGGAACAAGGACTTCCCCATTAAGGAGACAGTTATACACTCTGAGAATTTTAAACCACACCCAGCAAGAGAGGATGGATCAGGGCACTGCAGCAAAACAAACGCAACCCCTAAAAGAGACCAGTTAAGGACACCCAGTAAACATTTTTTAATGATTTTGATTAGATATTGACTATTTAGATATAGATAATTAAGATATTCATTTTCCACATGTCTTCATAACCGACCCCTGAAGAGACCTTAATATCTCAATGTATTTGTTTTATTGCCCAGGCAGCACCCTTGGTGAGACAGAGATCCAAAATTTGCACTCTTAGGCAAGGAGATGGGGATCCTCCCCTTTTCAGATGGGGCTCCCCCTGGTTTCTACATGGAGAAGGTTAAGTAAATATTAAGCCCTTGGCAGCATCATAGCCCAACCACCTTAAAGGAATTATAGACTCAGCTTTAGCAGCAAATCATTACTGTACAAGTATAATATCCATTGTTGAGGTTGAAGGGCAGGGGTGAGGAGGGGGGCTTTAATAATCTGAAACAAAATAAACTGAAAGGCAAGTTGTGGCTTTGATTATGCATAATGAACATACTACTGAACATGAATTGTAAAAATGTTACCAAATATTTTGTAATTAATGATAACCTTTACCAGTGTCTAACTGCCCCAATAGAATAGGGATAATTCTCTTATTACCATACTTTGATAAGATACTGATTTTAAATCTTCCCTTGCACTAAATGAAGACAAAAATGGAATTTGTCTTCCACATGAGAGGAACAGTTATCAAGGTTGTTTTTGTTGAGCAGATATGTCAAAGCTTTAGCTCCCACTTACACTCATGTTGAACCAGCTAGTCCAATAATTGTCAATCAGAGCTTAGATTTCTGGATAGCCCTAATTTCCATAATTTTGATTTTTATATGGCAATTGATTAGAGGTATGAACACCATAGGTAAATTAATGGATGCACAACTAAGAAGGACAGGAGTGTAATCTGAGGTTATTTCAGTTAAATCAGCAGTGCTGTCATCAATAGAGGACCTATGCCCCATACATCAATACTTATGAAGTAAAAGATAACAAGCAAGTAGCATGAAAACTGCTGACTAATAAATAATAATAATTAAAGAAAAAAGAAACTCATTCATAACACCACAGCCCACCAAGTTTCCCCCTCCCCCGAGTTCTAGTGGTATTTGCTGTATAAGATAGGAATCTATATATATATATTTATATATAAGAAATATAGAAAGAGCGATGTTGGAATCAATGAATTTGAGCACACTTTAGGAAGTAAAGTAGATCTTGTTTTAGGAGGATAACAAGTCTTTAAGGACGTTTGAATTCCAAAATCAAGTTTGCAAAAATAAGAATAAGATCAGTCAAAGAGTACATGAAATGAATTGATAATAAAATGCTAATTTGAAGTAGACGCTGATTCATTGCATAGTCCTGCATATGATAGACAAAGACTTACAAGTGGTAAAGACGACCTGTTCAAAAAGTAACTGGTCGTGTGGAAAGCACAATAACAGAGAGCACACAGAATATATATAAGCTGATATAAATTAAATCTGGTTTCCGAATGACTAGATATCATTACGAGAGTCTCGTTTCCTCAGCTCGAGCTCGTTTCGTGAAAATCCTGCTCTATGATAATCACATGTTCGGTCATATAAGATTCAAGTTAACATTTAATAAGCAAAGAAATTTACGATCAGCATTAAATTCCACAGATTTTTAACCACGATTCTGATTTTCATTAACGATCGCGTCAAATCCACTGCTTTCCCGAATACACGAAAAAGAAATAGTTTGATAACGAAAACTGGACCGACGTTGAGGAGGGAAGCATTGGGGCCTATAAGAAACCGCAAAACCGTAGAAAAAATCATGCAAAACCGAAAAACCGAAAAAAAATTCGATCAAAATCGAAAACCGAATGCAAAACTGTCAAAACCGATACATTTTCACATCCCAGTTATTGAAACCCTGATCGATTCGATACAGTGGTGACAAGTGGAGCATACAGAGTAAACTACACTAATTTCATGAAAGGATTGTTTGGGTCCAAATTTGCTTGATCATCACGAAAATTTTAATGCAGAAAGAAGCTTTTTGTCTTTTGTAGTTGGTTTTCGCTACTCGAAACTACTGTTGATCGCGTGGATAAGCCACGCAAAAAACAAATTAATGGTGTGATCTAGCGAAAGAAACGTCTTATAGACTTGACAAAGTACCATCTTTAATTTTCCCTGTTCCCACCTTCTTAGCTTAGAGCCAAGGTTTCTCACGTAATCAATTTCTAGACTGATAGTAAATCGCAACAATCTGATCCACATTGCAATGAGATATTCGGCTTGGTACAGAGGTTGTGTTCTGCCTAGTTCCCTAAAGTAGATTGTGTGAAACTCCTCTAGGCATGAGTTCGAATCCCTTCGAAGCCTGAAATTTTTTCAGGCCGCTTTTCTGTAATTGCTAAAGTGCAGTCCACCAGGGAGAGTCCGGCAATTCTTTGCTTAATTTTCATCTGCAGGTGAAATGAAATCGAATTCAATTGCGAGTTGTTATCCAGAGTTCGTCAACTCCTCGTACGGTGCGCCATAAAGCGGACGGGTCAAGAAGCATACAACAGATATTGGAAAAATGTTTGTTAGCAATGCATTGAGTTTCACAAATTAAGTGTGTGCTGCGCTATCAGGATTTTCTTTTTATATGTAAGTAACTATCTAGGCATGGACTAATGGTTCATGCACACTTGGCTCATTGACAATATTAAAGCTGTGGCTGTTTGGTTAGCTCAGATTGCTTATGGCTATATGTGCGATCTAAGTTGGCGGGTGAAAAATATATCTGGTCATATCTGGCAACTTAACTTTAGACCAAAGTCGCCAATTGGCGACCAACAAATCAAAAAGAAAAAAAAAAGGAGACTTGAGAAAATCATCAATCTTTGGTCGAATTATCGAACAAACGCCCGTTTTTCCTGTCTTTCTCTTGTTCTTTCTCGCCGTTCCGTTACTCTCAGATACGCATGAACCTTAAATGAGCGTTGATCAAGTCAAACTGATTTCAATGACATAACCTTTATTTAAATGACGTTCAGCATCTCAGTCTAATCATCAACCTTTTTGTACTTTGTTGTTTAAAATGAGGAAGGTTTTCAATGCTAATAGTTCAGCTCACTTCAAACTGTTAGAGATGTTTCAAAGCTAGACAATCGACCGAAATCGTATTAATCCGTTCTCAGCATCTTTGTTGTGAATCTTTTCTGGTACCAGACGTTTTCTTTCTTTTATATTTTTTCTTTAGGAGTGAGAGAGGGGTAGTTGCGCGACCATAAAATGTTTTAATGGCGACCATTTTACAGTTTTTGAAAAAAAGGGCTTGAAGCCATAGTATACGTTAAATTGTTATTGTATTGTATCCTGGACGACACTCGCTGCCATTTATTTGTTCATTGTTTTCACGGAAAACATAGACGCATGTGGCCTGGGTCAAGTTTAAAAAAACGCGTCAAGAATGTTTCCTCCAGTTTTTTGATGGCCGTACAAGCGATAGACTTTTCTTTGACTAATTTTGATTCCTATTTATTTCTATGAAAAGCGATTGCAATGGAACATCATCCTTTTAACTGTTGAATTATGACGATGTGAAACATCTCAAAAGGCATTAAACGAAAAAACTGCTCAAGGATTAAATTTAAATCATTCAATAAAGAAAAATCAATTCTTCGTGAATGAATGTATATAAAATGTAGAGAGATGAAAGTGTAAATCAGGAAAATATTTTTTTTGAGGAGGTAATTGTGTGTGCGACAAAGAATCCAATTAACAAATTATGAAGTAAGTCTTACTTTTTATGCCTTCTGTTGTTTTCACAGAGCTCTGTTATAACAAATTGATGGCAGCTGCAAAGCTACTCTGTATAGATTGAAGTTAAACTTGACGCTTACGTTAAACGGCAAAAGGGAAACATTGAACGTCGTGCCACCGAGTTCTCTAAGCTATTGTCGATGCTATCTTAAGCCTTGCTTTAAGGATAACAGGAAAAGGGAACCAAATCGGAGTTCATTTATGCCAATTGTCTTTTCCTTAGGTATTGAGGCTAAATATACTAAATATACTAATGACTGAGAGGGTCGGGAGCAAGCCTTGCTTACAGCGGTCTCTGCATGCTGGCTTTTTAAATCTTCGCGCTCGTGCAACTCCAGCATTCCTTTTTAACTTACTTGCTCAAGGTTATTCACAAAACCAGGAAAAAATAAGAAGGAAAAAAAGCAAGGCGTCCAAAATCTGTGATCTCTAAGGATTAAACAAATACGACTTTTGAAACGGTTGTTAATAGCAAACAATGGAAACTAAACGGTGATTAATGTTAGTGTTACCAAAATTTAATATTGACATGAATTAACAATGATAGCATTAACGCCTGTAGAATCCAACACGATAACAAGCAAACTTCAGAGATGCATTTTTTTACTGACCTGAACAGATCCAAAGTACGTGGATCCTTTCTTCTGTTTGAAATCATCCGGGTTCATCTGCCATGTTATGTTGTTCAGCTCACAAATGCGCTTCGTATTATTGCTTTTGTGATGGACATTAAACGATTTGCAACTGCCATTTCCCATACATTTTAGCTGACATTCAAACTCGTCAAGAACATCAGTTTTAGTCATAACGTGACCCAGTAAGGCATAGCCTGCAAAGAGAAGTCTTTGGGTAAACATGAGGAAATTAGGCTGGACCGAGCCGGGTTTATTACTTACCAACTTGAGTTTTAAAAACACTCCCACATAAGTCTCAGTTTGCCCCAATGAACAAAACTAACAGAAATATGCCAGTAATCACAAAGACCAAGTGTTTTTGCCGCAAGCCCTGCATGGTTTTCTTCTTTGCGAAGTCTTTCAGGATACTGTAGAAATCAATCTCGTTGTCGCCCAGAACCTCCTTTTGTGGACAAAGTTGCCTTCGGAATGAACACCTTAATAATTACTTGTGTTCAAATGAAACCTTTGTTGCCTTCAATCCAACGTAAGCTTTAACAAGTTCAGTAAAGAGAAAAATATCATCCGCGGCCTTGCTTATTAACAAGTGAAGAAAACATATCTGTTGCTTGAAACCACAACTGTAAAAATGTAATTTGTGATAATCGGTGCTTATTAACAAGTTAAGAAAACATATCTGTTGCTTGAAACCACAACTGTAAAATCCTCAGATATTTGGACAAAACTTTATCAACTAAAGAATAATCAGCCCATGTTTGATATGCTTAGAAACGAGCTGCGTAACTGGGTCGAGTACATGGACTCGAGGCTCAGTTATTGGCCAACATCGAAAAACAAAACAAAAGGTTTTTTTAAAGAACTGTTTTTACAATGTCCCATCGCCAAGGGATTATAAACAATTTTTAATTTCTTACTATCGCATAACTAAAAAAAGGAAACTCTAATGGATACTTATAGAAAATAAAAGTCCCAACAAAGAAACGAAAAAAGTATAGACTGTTCGAGCGCAAAAGAACTGTTATTTAATTATTTTTATATGTTTTTATTAAAATGTTTACGAGTAGGGTATAGGCCTGTACCGATTGTGCTCGTAGAATACTGGAAAGTTTCTCACTGGAAGATCAAAAAGTTGCTAAAAAAAATTGCCAAAAACTGATCCAGAAAGTCACCACCTCAGTTAAATTCTTGATATTTTTATGTAAACGTTGATTAAAAGCTTTATTTTCGGTACTCACATCTAGTAATTGGTGACATCGGTCGTGAAAAACAACTGAAAGCTTAACTTTCAAGAGCTGGTCGCAAATATGAGCGAAATTTAAGGATAACTTTTAGTCCAACGGAACAAAACACATGGTTTATTTGACGCCATTTTTGCCAATTATCCATAATCTAAGTTTGAGAAAGATCGCATTAAGCTCGTGAAACGTTGTCAGGTGTCAGGTTATGTCCCAAAAGTTGACAAATATTCAAGGACTTTACATAAATTGAAGTTTCCTATGCAGTCGTCGACTTTTTCGTGCCTAATATGACTTTTGATCGAACAAAATGAGTTATTTTGAGCCGCGCCACGAACCATTCTATGATTATAGGTTAATGGTATTCTGGATTTTGTCAAGCCAAGACAGAAACACTCAATACGAAGCGAGATCGGACGCACTTTACGAATCTGAGATTATTACTGGCTTGGAAAAAAATTAAGGGTGGACCAAAACGTTTATTTATCTTTAATTTGCGTACTGTATCTATTTCTTCCTTTGACTTCGCCATTTCAACCACAAATCAGTTGGATATTGTTTCGTTATTTAACAAGTCCTATAAAACATCGGTGAACAAAAGAAAGGAGTCTAGTTTGACGTCGGCAAATTAATTAGAGCGCGTTGTTGATGGGAAGAACGAGCCAGTGTTAAGTTATGCAACTCCTTCATTGAATATTGTTATTGTTTGGCGGTCTTCCTTTCACACGTTTCTATCCCCCCACGCTCGCCTCGCGTTTGCTGCCGCTTGCCTGAAAAACGCAGATTGACATTTGTTCGATCTGTTGTAAAATAGAGATATTTGTTGAAGAAGTTGTGGGAAAAAAGTCCTTAATATTTCAAAGGAGTCTCCCATAATGTACTTTACGACTCAAAGTTTCCGATCTCCTCGAAAACAAATTTTTATTTGGAGAATATATAATCGACTTGTGGATTTTTCACGTCAGCAGGACATCATCGGACAGGATTATCTACTTATGAATCCTCTTTATCCTAATATGAAAGAGATTATCACAGAAATAAAGTCCATATGAAGTTTTTTACAGTCCTTTACTTGGATGTGATCCTGTCTCATTTCTACTCGTTTAACTGTAATGTGATTGATGTGTAAATACTCTTAGTTGTTGTCGGGTTGTTCATTTTGTTCGTTTTTTTTTGTTAGATTTTTTTCGCTTTTGTTGCTTGGGCTTTTAGTTCTGTATTATTCTCTACTGATTTGGCCCGTTTAATGGCAAAATATACACGTCGAGTTTCTGTTGCGTCACTTTTATAATTTTAGGGTCACATTCAATTATTATTACTCGAACCTAGCCGTAGGCGGCGAGTCTTTATCTACTGGCCGTTTTTTCGTGTTTCGTCGCCAAATGCCCTTCACTTGGATGTGATCCTCTCACGTTTATTATACCCGTTTAACTGTCATGTGATTGATGTGTGGATACTCTTAGTTGTTTTCGGGTTGCTCTTTTTTTTTTTGTTAGCTTTTTTCGCTTTTTTTTTCCGCCTTATTCCTTATATACTCCTCAAGCAGACTCGAGTTAACGCTTTCAACAGAGTCTTATTTTGTCAGGCACCACTGAAATATTGATGTTACAGCAAAGACACTTTGTTTTCCCCATTGTTTTATCTTTATTGGAACCACAAGCTTAGCTACACCTACATCTCTTTTATAGAAGTATTTTATTTTTATGGCTTCGTCAGCGGTTTTAACTTTGATTAATAATCATGCACTTCTGATTTTTTTGAAAACTTTACTTTTAAAACTAAAATACATCAACCCTTATACATCTGCTGAGAACATATTCATCTTTTGACACTATCAAAGTATGATGAACCTTAGAAGTCCTTTGGACGGATTTTCATCTCAGACCTCTTAACAGATTTATAATTTTTTTTCCAGTGATACCACGCCATTCCTTTACCGTCATTTTTATTATTCATGTAGAGGCCATTGAGGTTTGAGTAATGGCATTTCTTGTACCACCAAGCGCCCGTATACGTGGAGGCACAGTTGCCTGAGTAGGCGTCATTATCTCGATCTTTAGTGGTAAATGGTGAGCCGCGATGATGACTGAGGGAATCACCAGCCGTGCCTGAAAAAATGTATTTTCAGTGAGAATTTTATGATAATGTGCCTGAAAAAGTGAAAGATTTGTTTTACTGCTTTTTAATTAAGATTGAAACATTTTGCATAATGAGTGTAAATTTCCTAAACATCAATAACCCTTAAGTCTTGAAAAAATGTGTTCGCTACAATCGTATTTAGAGAAATCATTTTGAAATAAAGAAAAATATGACAAAACACTTCACTTCTAACCCTTTTCCTCCTTTTCTCCACATCAGTATTGCCGACGATATAATTATTCTTACACCGTATAACTGTTTTACTTGAGTAACGTTACATGCTAACACCACTCTTAGATTAAATCAGTTTCACCTGAATAAACTCCTAAACCCAGCAGGTATTTCGCCCTTTCGCTTGCCACAGAGAATGAACTGTACTCTGCAAACGCTGTTTTACCATGAAAGTCTTCCAAGTCAACACGCAGCTTGTCACTGCTCCTCGCAGTCAGGCGGTGAATCTTGTTCAGTCCGAGCCAAAACTCACTGTTCAGATTGCCGAAGCCCTGTTTGTAGTCATTCCAGCCGCGGAAAAAATCTACCGCACCGTTATATCTCTTTTGAAACACCGTCCATCCTCCACCGGCTGTTGTCTGATCACAGAAGACTTCAAATTCTCCTAAACCATCAGGATCGATTTTGTATACACCACTGATCTTGTCGCCTGACTTGTAAACTTCGGCGCAGTTCTTATAAACAGCTGAAAGAAAAAAGAGAGAAAGTGAAACCGAATGAGCATCAGGTCAACTAAATCGTCTTCGTTCAATCTAAAAGTCATTTTCCCACCAACCTTTCCCATCCTGCTTCTCACAAGTTTGGTTCTTCATGTTTCGGATTTCTTGTTCAAGTTTGGTCAATTGTTGTTGAATGTTAGAAAACATATTTTCTATTTTCTTGGAGTTTGGACCAGCGTAGAAATAGTTGTTATTGACACCACAATGCGGATGATGTTTCGTATCGTTATCGGTTCTTGCTGTTTTAGACGACACTTTCGTCGAGTTCGAAAGCACCGTCACGAAAAAACAGAAGAGAAGAACTTCACAGAGATATTTCATCGTGAATCTACGTCCGAAAACTTGCTGCAAGTGCAGGTGATTGCTATAACTGGCCACTGAAGGAATTATTTTTCAACACTGAACCAAGTTTATAGAATGTCTGTGAACAACCTTTGTTATTCGAGCCTTACAACAAGATTTTTCGCGTGTCACCATTCTGTTTTAGTCATAACACTCATTTACTCATTACAATAAATTGTCACTATTGTTTAGCCACCGTGCTTCACTAAATTTGTTATTTATAATTTGCCCATTTACTCAGCGACCGGCATCGTTCCTAAAGAACGACCCTGCAAATGAATTGGACAAATATTTGCTAATCATTACTGATCCTTGGAGGAAAAAAAAGTCTTACTTACTACATGAGTTTGGTCGATTTGGGTCGAGAGAAGTATAGCGTCTGAACCGGGCTAAGAAAATTTGATAGTCAAAACCGCAGTTCATTTACATTTTTGCTGAAAACAAACTGATTATAATAAGCATTGCATGATAAAGAAATTGGTCGTTTTTTAATGGTTCGGGATGGTATTCTCTAGAATTGATTATTTTTGCAATCCTGCAGAGCCAATAGCTGACAATAGTTTATCGAATGACTTTTCATGCCGAAGCTTCACAGGTGCATTAAATACAGGAAGGGCAACTCAATTGCGTGACTGAAGTTGGGTCTTTGATAAACGAATGTCGTTCACTGGCTGACACGTTTATCAGCCTTGACTGAATAGTTGCAAAATTGATAGCCCATGTAATACATTGCTACTGAAGTGGTCTGTTATTGGGCCCTTATTATTATTAGCTCTGCGGCACAAGCGTTCCTTCGCCCTCGCGTAACTGAACTGCCTTGAGAAGCAAGCCGGAGAGAGGTCTTCTAGGGATCTGGCACTAGTATCAGGTCACCCGGCTAGCGTTTCTCAAGGCCTCGCGGCAATATTTGTTAACATTCGCCGGCCAAGAAATGTTCGAGGCGTAGTAATGCTCGCTGGCTACTCAGTGACCGCGCATAAGGAGGGGCTGGGGGGGGGGGGGCTTAACTCTCTCTCCCCCCCCCCACTTTCTTACAAAAATAAAAATAAATTAAACAAAAAATAATTTAACAAAAATAACGGAGCCAAAAGTAGACCCCCACTCAAAAAGTTGCTGCGAGGCCCCTGCTACTCATACACCAACACTGAGCAATTTCTGTAAAACGAGAGGCAAATTAACAAAAATAATCATAGCAAAAATAAGGTTATATAGCCGGATGTTTCCATGAAGCCGAAACTACAAAAATTTGAATAAACAGGTTTACTGCGACTGGACTGATACATGCATGACTGGTATTGCTAATTTTTTTCTAGGACCCACTCTCCAAGTCTCTAGTTTATTCAAAGTGATCATTTTTATGGATTAAACAGGTCAAAATTGGGTGAGAAATATTTGAACACAATATTTTGGTGGGCGCGAGAAATTGGTCGGTAGACGTAAAATGACGTGAGAACAGAATGTGGAGTTCCGCAACGCAAATTATTCGAAATGAAGCAAGGTCTCACGAAAAAAAGCAATAAGCTGATCCCTATTTGCGTGGAATAGCTATACAAAAGTTTACGAGGCTTCTTAATTAAAAACTATTTGATGTATTCTTCTACAATAAGGCCTCTCATACCTTGAGCTAATAAATGGAAAAATGCCCAACAGGTGGTGATGATGATCCTTCTCTGATCCCTCTATTGTCTACAATCTGCCGCCATTTTAAACTTTGTCGTATGCAACAGCTGACGCTGGGAAGTGTTCACAATGGAAAAGTGGGGACAACATCACAAAGCCAGTTTGAAATGGAACCCTCAAGTGAAACACATAAGGCATGAATGTCTATTCATTTGGGAAGAAAGGTGATGGTATAGATTTCTGTAAGCATTTACAACTGGATAACAGAGTGGATGATTGTGGGAAGTAAAAATATTCTGCTTCCCCCACCCGCTCTTGGGGGGGCGGGGGGGCAAGGACTTCCCCATTAAAGGGACAGTGATTCACCCTGAGAATTTTAAACCACACTCAGCAAGAGAGGATGGATCTGAGCACTGCAGCATGACAAATGCAGCCCCTAAAAGAGACCAGTTTAAGACACCAAGTCAACATCTTTTATGGTTTTGATTAGATATTGACTTTCTAGAATTAGATAATTAAGATATTCATTTTCCACATGTCTTCATGACCAACCCCAAGAGACCTTGATTGCTCAATGTATATGGTTTATTGCCCTGATCAGCACCCTTGATGTTAAGAAATCCAAAATTTACACTCTAAAGCAAGGAGATGAGGATCCTCCCCTTTTCAGATGGGACTCCCCCTGGTTTCTACAAAGAGAAGGTTAAGTAAATATTAAGCCCTTGGCAGGATCATAGCCCAACCACCTTAAAGGAATTGTAGACTCAGCTTTAGCAGCAAATTATTGCTGCACAAGTATAATATCCATTGTTGAGATTGAAGGAGAGGGGTCAGGGGGGGCTGTGAGGTGCAGCTCTGTCCACATCAGATTCTTGATAGTCTTCAAAATAATCTGAAACAAAATAAACTGAAAGGCAAGTTGTGGCTTTGATCATGCATAATGAACATACCACTGAGCATGACTTGTAAGAATGTTACCAAATATTTTGTAAAATATTATAACCTTACCAATGTCTAACTGCACCAATAGAATAGGGATAATTATATTATTACCGTACTTTGGTAAGATACTGATTTCAAATCTTCTCTTGCACAGAATGAAAACAACAATCGAATTTGTTTTCTGCATGAGAGAAACAGTTATCAAGGCGTTGGGTTGAGTTATTTACCTCTGATTTTGGTTTTGTTAAGCAGGTAAGTCAAAGCTTTAGCTCTCACTTATGTTCATGTTGAACCAGCTTGTCCAATAATTGTCAATCAGAGATTAGATCTCTAGATAGCTCTGTCAGTTCCACAAATTTGATTGTTTTATGGCAATTGATTGGAGGCATGAACACCATGGGCAAATTAATGGATGCACAATGAAGAAGGAAAGGGGTGTAATCTGAAGGTATTTCTCTTACATTAGCAGTGCTGCAATTGAGGACCTGTGCCCAATACAACAGTATTTATGGAGCAATAGATAACAAGCAAGTAGCAGAATACTGCTAACTCATTAACAATAATTAATAAAAAAGAGAAACTTATTTATAACACCATTGCCCACAAAGCCCCCCCACCCACCCAATTCCCAGTGGTATTTGCTGTGCAGGGATCAATGTCAGTTTCTGAGCAACTGTGCACCCACCCCTCCCCTAACTCAATATTAATTGTTATCAGTTGACTATTGTTGGGTTATGGAGGGGTAAGTATACATTTGCTCAGATTCTGACATTGATCCCAATATAGCATGTTGTCTTCCAAGAGTTTTCCATTGTGGAATTCTAACTGCAGCCATAGTAGTGGAATGATATGTTAAATTAAATTCTTATTCCATGAGAGTGCACTAGTAGATAAGGGAAGAAAAATTTCAATTGGTGGATTGGCAAAGAAGAGCATAGTGAGTAGAATCTATTAAAAAAAAAAAGAAATGTAGAAAAGAGGCATGTTGGAATGAGTGAAGTTGAGCACACCCAGGGGCAGAAGATGTAAAGTAGATCTTGTTTTAAACCTTTAACCCTCATGAGTGACCAAGAGAGAATTTCTCCTTACATTATCAATACAACATCAAGCATAGAAGTGATGAGATTAAAGTAAAATATCAATTAGGAGATTATTAGTTGATCCAATACCAAATTCACCAAATTGACATCATAAGAATTGTATGTCAGACAGTAAAGAGAATTACTAATGAGATCTTGGGAGTTAAAGGGTTAAAAGGATAACAATTCCTTAAGGACAATTAAATTTTAAAATCAAGTTTGCAAAGATAAGAATAAGATCAGTCAAAGAGTACATGAAATAAATTGATAATGAAAATGCTATTTCAAAGTATAAGCTGATTCAGTGCATTGGTCCTTAGCAGATAATGGACATAGCTTTATAAGTGGTGAAAAGGACCCGTTCAAAAAATGTAACTGTTATTGTGAAAAGTACCACTTGCAATAGGATAGTTGTGGTGAGTTATAATCAGGATCACTAAAGAAGAAGGTGGAATTTGTGAACTGTCTGTCGCCATTCACAACTTTAGTCCCTTTTACTTCCACTCTCTCACCTTTATCTAGTTACTCTTTTTTCACATGTGGATTAGTATTTGGAAGTAATGAGAAACTTAATTTTAATTCTCCTACTCATTCATTCTTGTTTTCGGGGCCATTGCAGGATTGCAACCAATCTCTTTCTGTCCTTGCAATAATTCAAGACCCCCCCTTGGCCCATCTCTACTCTAATCAAGTGCTCAGGGGGGTTTCATTGAGAAATAGAGTGGTAAGAGTAGTGTACCTAGAGAATTTACTATATCCCAAGAAGCTGAACATTAAAAATCTTACAAGAGAAAACTCTGATTTCTGCTGTCTACTGAACATCCTGATTGTTCTCTACCAAATCTACTATAGGTTCCACAATTTAACTATTCCTGTTATTCCTGTCCTGTTTATTAGTTGGCAGATTACACAATCTAATTACCGCCAGCTTTCTTTCTGTACTCCAAAGCTGTTTCACACACATTTCATGTTGTGTCTAGGAAACTCTGTATCTATGCCTTACCCATTTCATTAGTTTTTTCTTAAATGAATGCAGCCTTTTCCATACCGATATTTTGCCCATGCATAGAAAACAGCCAACAATTATTTTTCAAGGAAAATAGTGCTTTATACTTTCTGCAAAGAAGGCACTCCAAAATGACCCCAATTAGCATGAATACAGTTTTGAAATACCTAAGACTATCAAAACATTTTTTTTTATGAGAAACCAATATTATCATGTATCAATAATTGGCTTTTTTTTCATTTTCAATCAGCCAAAAGACAGGAAAAGTATTGTTCTTTAAGTCATTTGATGTAGGATAGGAGATTTGAGATTAGTAGAAAACAGATAAATATAATCAGATATCAGGCAGGGTAGCAGAATAGACCATGACCTCGATATGAAATTTCAAACCACGATTCATATCTTTTTCATATTTTAATGACACAAATATTCCCCTTGTGGATTTATCTTACAACATAAAATACATCTTTCCTCGTACCTATACATTTTATACAGCAATATATTTTGTTACTTTCATATTAAAATAATTTTACAAGAAATATATAAATATGCCTTTCATCTACAATATTTACCGAATACATGTTTTCACCCTGCATAGACAGGCTTTCGGTGAGCTTAATCAAGCAAACGCCATCTTGTATTCAACTCCTCCTAAATTTTAGGAAAAATTCGAGAATTTCATATATTTCCGATTATAGCCATTTAATTTCTTTGTAAAATTTCCATTCTAAATTGTTCTCAAAAGATATCCATGTACATTTTTACCCACTATTTGATAGTGAAGTCGAGACAAGAAAAGAGGTGAATATAATTGTACTTCTCAAATCTCGATAGTCAAGAATTTATGCCACAAAACATCAGTCATTGTCGGTGGCCGCTGAAAGCGAGACGAATTCAGAGAGTACTATTTTCAAAAATAAATGCTACATATTCCGATGATAAAATGTTAGTCAGATGACAGCATGAGTTATCGATCACGAAAAAGAGTATTTGCAAATTTAAGTCTTCTTCATATCAGGGAACATTTTCTCAGAGATGAAAGCTCGAAATTTCACTTGTTCTCGGACACCAAAGTAAATTTTACGTACTTGGAACAGGAAATGAAGTATTCGCAGCGGCCGTAGGTAAACTTTGAGTTAAGAGGCTTTGCCTTTTCAGTGATGTACTTCCTGACTGTCTTTGGTTATTTTTTGCTCTTTTCTGTTCATGTTGCGCTCGATCGTGGTTTTCAAGTCCCGGAGGAAGTTCGTGCTCAGAGTGTTTTTTTCTCTTCAAAGAGGACTGTTCCACTCGCATTCTTGACAGTGCAACAACTAATGAATCATTCATTTCTGCAATTTCCTGAGTTTCTTGCAGCTCTGGAGACGACGAAAGCACCGCAAAACCAAGATTCCGACGACAACCCAACACAGGGCTTGGCGGAGGGGCGCACGGCAATGGCGATTCCTTGAATACTGGCGGCGTCTGCCGCAACCTAGCCATTCCCTGACGTCTTCCTTAAGTACGAAGCACTTATTATGCTTTAGTCGTTAAAAGAAGAGACCTTCCACAATATTCTGTTGTAAGAACTGCTTTTCGGTGAGCAAAATTTCTTCTTCCTTCGACATTAATCTACTGCACATGTACCATTCTCCCGCTCACATCATAAAGTCAAATTTTTTACATTTATCAGCTGACGCCATTATAAAGTTATTTGATGGCTAAGTGACCAATGGAATTCGTTGATACAGAATAACTCCTTCGAAGATAGCCAATCATATCTATCGTTCTATCGTAAAGCGCAGAGTCACGACATCTCTCGTGGTGAGCGTGACTGTGAGCACGAGACTGAGAAGAGCTTCCCGTCACCCACGCAAAAGTATGCGATCCACTTTTTCTGCGTCACAGATCGGTTCTAGAACAGACTATTCAATCCAAAAAGTAGAAAAAATTAGTTGAAAAAACTGACTGGCGTTTATTTCACAAAGAGTACGTCTGTTTTCTCTGAACAAGGTCGTTCAGGATTTAAACGTGCCCTCTCAGTAATAATCCTTTGCCCTTGGAACGATTTTGCAACATCTTTTAGATACACCTTGTCGTCATCAAGGCCATGAATTTGACCTTCGCTTCGAACATAAAAAACCAAAACCTTTCCCATTTTATTTATTTGCTGAAAAATTCTTATTAAGGAGGATTCGGGACCGTTCAGTTGTTTGTCCTGAAATTTATGGCATTCTTTCCTCTGCCTGAGCCTGTTGGGATTAAAACTAATTGTTCAGAACAACACAGAAATCTTCTTTGCCAATGTTCCAACAACATAAAATTGGCTCACTCGAGTTTTCTGCCTTTCATTATCTGAATTTTCCCAGGATTACGAAATCCTACCTCACTGAAATTACGAACGGGAAGTAGTCACGTGGAGAGCAAATTATTGAGCAATATCATTTAGAGGGTAAGTCACGCGATGTTAAGCATCATTTTTAGGAAGTTGTCAAAATGTTGCCCTTCCACTCGTCTCGCCCATAATCGATTCTTGAGAAACAGGTGGACTTTTTGGACAACTTTTGGAATAAGACGGAAAAAATGAACTATTACACAAACTCGCGTAAAGGCCCTGCAATTTTCAAAATTTGACCCACAAAAGATATGCGGCATTCCTCTCACAGATTAATTTTTTTGCGTAGTTCGGTCAGTTCATTATTTCAGTGTTACGTGTGGTAAAAATGCTAAATCCAACGTGCTGTGTTAAACTTATCATTATTAAGATTTCAGACGAAGACTTCAGAGCGGGTAGTACTTGAGTCCGCGGCCCTGAGAGCATTTGATACGCTTGACTGGCGCTCACGCCAATAACTATTTCAAAGATGTTTTATCTCTACTCAGGTGCTCGGCAGGAGACCTGCATTGAAAATTCATGGCCTACGAACAGCTTTAATTATTAGTGCTGCAGGACGAACGTTTCTCCGTCCATGGGAATATTTGAGACAAGTCGAGCAGAGGTCAGCCGCGGATTACCTGAGGCACGCCGCTTGCAGCCCGCTAGCCTGCCGGCCAGAAAGTTACTCAAGCTTAAACACAAGCATTCGTTCCACATCAGCTTTTTAGCTGCCATTTATCGACCTACGTGACGTGACTGGCAGCCAAAACTCTTGACACGAAATGACCCTGGGCGTAATTCTTGCTTATTCAAAGTGTTATGTTAGCCATACAAAAGGCTATTCATAAAGGGGATGAAGTCATATCGGACGGCAGCGCGCAACTTAGCTCGGAAGTCTTGACCTTTTACTGATCGGAGTAATTGAAAGCAAGCCTACATCTAACTTTTAATTAAAATTTGAGGAACAGAGTTCCTTATGACCGCATTTCCAAAGATTAAAACAAGAAATAGAAATGATATTGTTAACCTCGTCGGCAGTAAATTGACTATCCCTCCTTAAACTTCTTCTTTCCTATGTTTGCTTACGCAGTCCCTCCAAAGGAAAAAAAAACAACAAGAAATTTATGTGGGCGAATCGCGCGGAACTCTGGCCGCTGAGGCTGACATCAGATTTTTTTCACCGACTGTTTTTGACTCGCGTGACGGTCTTCGCCGAAACAGAGAGACTGCTCGTGGTTTAATTTAAACGTGAAGTAACGTATATGAACCAAACAGGTTCTCATTGTTGCATAAAAATTTAATAGAGTCTCTCTTTCCCAGACTCTCATGGAATTTTATGAAGGGACGAATGAAGCTAAGATATTGTAAGGATGGCCAATGATGGAGGCGAATTAGTACAGATTTCTAATACGACATGTAGAAAGGTTTGATCCTTGATTTTTAAAAAAAAATATGAAGATTTTCAAAACAGAGGAAATAGTACAACATTTCAAAAGAAAATCAGCAATCCTAGCCAGATCCTGACCCAAATGATCGCAGAGCGCAGACTTTCCAATCTCATGCAAGATTTAATTTCTTGTCCTATGTGAATATCAAAAGTCATATTTAACTTAGATTCGACTGAACACACTACAATGAATTCGACTGTAAATATCATGAACACATTGCAGTTGGGGTGAAAAACAATAGACATATATAATTTATTGAAATATGCAAGTATAAATAGCAATTTCTGCATTACATATAACTAAATAATTTCCATATAAAACCTGTTATGTAACTTGTTCTCAGTAATTTCCTTTTTCAGTACAGTTTGCAGATCGTCTTTTCCCCGAATCTTCTGTCTTCAGTGGTTAATTATAATAACAAAATTAAGTACTATGTACAATTGCATGCAAGTGTCTATTTAAGCAATCGAGGACTCTTTCCGTGAATACAGAGGTGTATCTAGACATAACGATAGAGCTGTATTTAAACACAACAGAAAGAGGGGAGAGAGGGAGAGAGAGAGAGAGAGAGGTTGAAAGAATTCGAGAAAAATTAAGTGAACTCGAGATGCAATGAAAGACTTGCTTACATTTTGTGAACTCTCTTAATCCTCCCGAATGTCTAAATCACTTTCTGTAGACACGAAATAAAAGTCCTATTATTTTCAGAAAATAGTTCTCAAAAAATATGCGCGCATGCATCTATAATCCCACGTAATCAAACCCATCGACCAATGACAGCGCGCATAATATCTTAACTATAGCATAAAACAGTATTTTTATGATCACGGAAAAAGGTGTGGAAAATGTGAGAACATTTCGCTGTTTATCAGGATCGATGCGCCTTTTCTGCGTCGATTCAAGTCTCAGTTGCAAATGTTCTTGACATCTTTGTTTGGTAGATCAACTCGCAGTCACACCTGTCTCAAGCGGCTCGCCTGCTGTTAAAACTGGTTTCAGATACGTGTTTCCTTTACTTGTTCCAGCTAAGATAGCGTCAACCTACAGAAATACAATGGCAGTAGCGACCATCAAAGGTTAGCTATGAGTAATCAGAACAATAAGTATAACAACAACAACCACAACAATACGATTGAAAACCACCGCACCTTGCAGTAACTGATTATTGAGAGGATGGTTAAGAAAAAACGATATCTGTAATTGCAGGAATTTCAACTTTACCTCCTTTACTATGTTGTTCCTGAATTCTGTCATTTGTGCTTGTAGTAAAAGAGCGTCCTCCTTGAGCTTCACTTGGCGTTCCCTCAAAGTGCCAAGCCTCTCTAAATTGGACTGAGAGGGCAAACAGACAAACAATACGTAAATGACACCAATACGTAAATCTCGGGGCTCGAGATTGTTAAAAAAACTTTAGAGGTAAATAAGGTTAGGGACCGAAGCTGAAGGCCCATCAAAATCAGACAGAAAGAGAAGAAAGAAAGGCAAAAACTGCCACAAGCAAGCAAAGTTTCAGGATTGGTTGTTAAACGAGCCAAGTTGATTGCATTTTCTCTCAAGCTCATGATAGAATGCATGTACATAGTTACATAGTCATTTACACATACCATGGATAAACTAATGAACACACATGTACTAATGGAATGCAAGGGATATCAAAAACGTTTTCCATGAGCGGCAGCCGATGCTGGCTGTGCCCGAAAAATGAGCTGTACGGCCCCTTTCCCCTAAGGGGATCTGTGGGCATGCTCCCCCACAAACAATTTGAAATCTAGACGCTTGGAAATGTAATTTTCAGCATTCCGGGCATCTGCTCTCGGGCTAAGCAGACATCGGTAAGAGGTTTTACAAGCGGGAGTAGACCGCCAGTAACGAACTTTTATTGAAACCCTGGGTTGCGGTTTTATTAACCTTCATAAGTTCCAGACCCTTGCATGTCACAGGAGGCTCCGCTTCAGGTTTGGTTTGCTCTGCACCGTCGCTTTCATCCCCATACATGTTTCTTTAAACCAAAGAGGAAAGTTAACTTACAAGTGAAGTAGTTTCGATAAAATTGATATTGTAACTTTCAGCGTAGTTACAAATATAATAGGTGAGTGATAAACCTCACAGAACAGCGCTGTTGTTGCTCTTTTTTTTTCATGTTAAAAAAGCCAGTATAAATGCTTCCAGAAGACCCAAAACAAGTGCGCCTTACAATCCAAATATATGCGTTCCCACCTACTGTTAGCTTTCGGCCTTCTTGACAATGTTCACAAAAATAACTGTTCAGATAAAAGGTTCGGCTAAATTAAAGATGGTTTAGAATATGGTTTTATTAAAAAAAAAAAAAAAAAGAAAAGGGTAAACTATGTTTAAATACCCGGCCTTATAAGTCTGGCTGAGGTTTAAGTATGGCGTCTCCCTCAGTACTGCATCAGACACCACCTCGAGATTCACGTTTGATACAGTCTGCATTAACATCTAAAAACAACTATGGTAGAAATAATTTCAGAGTTTCGAGCGTCTCTGTTTAAAACAACTATGCAAAAACTAGAAAATTAAACGAAAGTGATCTGGTGCAATGTACAAATGTTCCTAAAGGTGATTATCTACCTGTTAAACTCTTCCTGAGACATGGATAATGCCTGAGCATCAAGCTTCTCAATGAACGATAAAGCACAACACTGACAAAGAAATTAAAGAATGGAAATGTGAGAACAAAAAAGGTACAAAGGTAAAGTCAGCACTGAAGCTGAGTGGCACATCCGTCTGGAGCTTATCATTGTTTATAGTACCACTGGGTGGGATGTTACTTCATTGCAAGGTATCCCCAAGGTACTCATCAGCTTTCCCTGACAGTTCATTCTCCTGGGGTGAAGAAAAGCACTATAAGAGTCAAGTGTCTCGCCCGAGAACACAACACAACGACCCCGCTACGTCTCGAACCCGGTTTCATCCGATGACTGAACTTTTTATTTCGGGCGACATGACTCAGGTTCGGGGGCGACACGATTTTAAGCGAGATGACTTTAGGTCAACTTGACCGATTACCCTGAACCCCCACCTTTCGACCCAGAGACCAAGTCAGGTTTGAACTACACGCGTAAGAGAAGAACCAGTATAAATCAGTTATAAAAGGGACTTGTGCAGGATCATTGCTTTATGCATAGGTTCCACTTACAAGGTTTGTGAAGTAATATCCAGCTTCTCCCATCATTAGTTTGTTAGGATTGCAAAATCTGGAGATATACCTGGTAAAAAAACACACTGTCTCATAAACCTTCGAAATGGAAAAATGTCTTTTTTTCTCAATCAAGAAATATACTGAGCATGCAAGACTTGACAAAGCAACTTATTTCCCACCTTCTGTAAGTATGGAAATCTCTTAATGTACCATTTTCAAATTTTTGACAAAACACATGTTTCAATACCACATTGCATGTAATACAAACTGAAGTGCACCTGTCTTGGTTTAAAGGATATAGCTATCCTATAAAAAGTTTCGGATTCCTTGATCACTCGCATGTAATGATATCAACAATGAATTAACACACATGTAAATAAATTGTAGATAGTGCTTACTGAACATTGGAATGTAGCATTGTAGGATTTGCTTTTAAGACAACATAAATGAAACAAGGAAGGAAGTCATCGGCACTAACTGCTCCTCCAGCAGGTGTTGAGAAGTGAATAATTTCTGTCAAAATGTTAGGGTAGAACATTTGCAGTGACTGTCAAGACAGCCAAGGTTTCATGTACATGTAGGTGCTGAAGTCTTTCATTTGCAATCAATCTAAGCAGATTATTTTGATCCAATACTTGAATCTATAGGCATGGGGGTTAAGGAAAGGGAGGGAGAGAGGGGAGGTTAAGGGTAGGGAGGGAGAGAGCGGGGTTAAGGGAAGGGAGGGAGAAAGGGGGGTTAAGGGTAGGGAGGGAGAGAGGGGAATTAAGGGAAGGGAGGATGGGAAGGAGAGAGGGGGGTTAAGGGAAGGAAGGAAGGGAGGGAGAGAGGGGAATTAAGGGAAGGGAGGATGGGAAGGAGAGAGGGGGGTTAAGGGAAGGAAGGAAGGGAGGGAGAGAGGGGGATTAAGGGAAGGAAGGAAGGGGGAGAGAGAGGGGGTTAAGGAGAGGGAGGGAGGGAGGGGGGGTTAAGAGATCATCACTATATAGCCTTAATTCTCAAAGAGAGTTCAAGAAATTATTTTTTGTAAATACACTATAACTTAAAATCCACATAAAACTTATATTTGCTAATGCATACCATCACTTTTAAAATTTAAAAGCAGTTTCACTATTAAGTCAGAATGTTAAAATGGCAGAGATTGTAGAGCAATAAAGGATACTGAATATGTTCTTGCAGCAACGCACAACACAAGCTAGTTTATCCTGAGGAGCTCTCCTTGTGTTTATTTCCACCAGATCTGGAGGAAAAACAAAGATTAAGTGAAAAAGAAATAAACATACATACTGCATTCCAAAACTATAAAGTGCACATTTGACATGCCTTAAAATTTTAAATATACTATTATACTGTGCCATAACAATGGACAAAAGGCAGTTAACATCTCATAATGGCTTGTGCATTCTGGTTACAAGATATCAAATGACAAACCAAAGTGTTTCTTCCAGTCCAGGAACACTGATGGGCAATGAACCCTTGAGTCATGCAAAGAAAAGTTTGTGCACATTGCTGGAGAGCATTACAAACTAAGGTGCTAAGAAAGCTGCAACTGCCAAACCAGAAAGGTATGTGTGCATAGCTAGAGAGCATTCTAAACTAAGGCACTTGGAAAGCTGTAAATGTCAAACCATTTCATGAAAAAAAGAAAAAAAAAAAAGAGAGATTCTGAGGCTAAAAGGATGAACCTTCACGTACACTGTTGGTTGGACATAACAACAACAAAAAAACAGAAGGCACTTTACCACTCTGCTACCAAATATTTCATCAGATCAGGGAAAAAAAGTCTTTCTCACAACAAGACTAGTTAACAAAGGTAACAAAAGCTATGATAAGAAAAAAAACTAAGCTATGAAAAAAAACAAAAGTCATGAACAAAGACAATTAGTATAATTATGTAATCACCTCTTCACAATTAATTTATATCATTGTAATTGCTTTTCTGAGGTGCTTCATTTTAACTTTAACGTTATCACTTCTAATTAACCACTTGGCCTGATAATGGACATGTAGATCCATCCTCTTTGCAAACATAATGACCCTTAGTCCTCTTTGAATTTCTTTGATAAGAGCAAGGTGAATGGACACAGGCCACCATTCTAATTCTAATGACTACTTGCTGTATCCTGCATAGCAGGGGTATTTTCAGGCAGTAAGATTTGAAGCCACCACAATGCATTAGTTAAATCAAATAGAGCATATAGCAAAAGAACCAATCATTCTCACCTACCAGCTCTCTAATACATGTACACCTCTTTACCCACTCCACATTTAATCTTCATAACCCAATATGGTAATTACAAAACTCAATAAGTACTTGTCACAACAACATTAACACAAGCTCTGAAAGAAATACCCATAGACATTACACGAAAATGAATCATACCTTCTTGTGCTTCCTCAATCAACTGCTGTACCTTGTCACTGCTAGGATTTATCGCAGCATCTAGATGCTGAGGAGTTATCCACTTAAAACTTCTTATACGCTTTTGATTTGCCAAATCTCTAGCTTCATCATCCGTAGAAGCTGGACAGAAAACACTGCAAAATTAACGTACAAGCTGCTGGTTAAATTTCAAGTTTGTCAAGTCAACATGTACAGAAGGTCATAGCCCTTTGATCCTTAAGTATGGCCAGCATCTAATTTCTCTTTAAAATATCACCCCCTTGAATTAAATGTTAAGGTCATAAGAATAGAAGAGATGATCACCAAATTCTCCTTAACAGAACCTTAGGAAATGTATGAAAAAAAGTATACTTTTTTAGAGAAAATCCACGCTGATGTTTGGGTGTAAAGGGTAAAATGGCTGAAAATAACATGGATGTACATTTACCACCAAATGCAGAATAATGCAAAGCAGCAAAACTTTTTTCATGACAGTTTACTTAAGTTAGTACAGTTACATTCAAAACGTTCAAGAAAATCTTTCTCTCTCTTTCAATCATGCTGAATCACTTTAATACTAATAAAAGATAAATATTTTTCCTTCTTCATTGAGTGCTAAACATTGATGGAGTGTGGTGATTTTGCTCAAGCTCAGATAGAGGGTATCCTCAGATCATACTACAGAATAAACATTTCCTTATCTCTATGACACAAAACCCAGTAAGTTGTTCCCTTTAAAAGAACAGCTTTCATTGTACATGTACATACACTCTATACAACTTTGTCATGATGTGTTTTTCTACGCCATCCAATGTTCTGTCAATCACTTCCTGTGGCTGATTTTGAAACAACTGATGGGACTGTAGATGCTCTGACATTGCCTAAAATGGATAACGGTTATAGCAATATTAATATAGGTTGAAATAATTCAAAATCAAACATACCATTCACTGTGCGTTTTGTTTGTTTGTTTCTTTTGTTTCAAGTGTCCTTCATGTGCTAAAAACTCACCCCATAAAAGTCATGAACCAACTGACTCTGTTCTTCCACCTTCAGAGATGGGTTGTTTAAAATGCTCTGAACAAACCTGTCAAAAGAAAAAAGAAATGAATTTAGAGAGATGTCACAGTTCCTGATGAACCAGTAGGAGATAATCTGCCCTTGTGACAACCAAAATCTCAGTTAGGTGAAAGAAGACCATATGACTATTTTGTAAATGTGAGTAAGGAGCAGAATTGATATTCATAAGATAACTCAAACTATAAATTATGGTTGAATTTGAACATGGGGCCACCAAAATGTATTCCAACACCTTAAACACTCAGCCAACCTGTTTTAAAAGGTTACCTGTACTATTAATAAAATTTACTACATCAGATAAGTAGCCAATAAAACAGACGTATAGCTTTCTGTAAATAATTAAGTACATTAATCTAAGTTTCACATAAAAAAAGTTAAACTGGCAAAAAACTGGTCAAGATTGATATTTGCTGAGGGACACTCTGGATTAAAATGCAGATGAACAAAGAGATAAAAAATGAACCACTAGAACACACATCAATAAAACCACTTTTTACAACTTTTGAAAATAGATGAATTTTAAAACAATCAAAATTACTCACACTTTGCATTTGTCATTGACATCTTGTGCTGCTGGTTTCCTGAGGGTCTTTAGGAAATCCCGGAAACTTGAAACACTCTTTTCAGGCTCAACTATAGGAGATTACAATTTACCATAAACAAGCCCATCATGGGTTAATTCAAGAGTACTATCAGAAGGGACAAAATAATTACAATACTACCAATATGAAAAATTTGTGAGTGAAAAATATGTAGCAAGCTTTGCATTTGAACACGATCTTCTTTCCTTATATGGAGAGTCATGATGCTTATCAACACCTGTAAGTTGACACAATTTTGATAGACAATATTAAAAAAAGCCACTGCTGTGTATATCATGTCTGTCTTAGCTATCAAGCCAACATTTGTAAACACCAAATTTAAAACAAGCCAGTGGGAAGGCTTGAATGAACCCCCTGTCCCTGGCATAACAGAGTGAAACATGTGAAAACCGGCCTTACTCAAAATTATTTGACTTCTGCAAAACTTGCGCAAATAAAGAGATCCAATCAAGCAGACCGTGGTTTAAGCACATGTGCATGAATGTTGTTCTACACACAAGAGACTAAGAAACTCTATCTTACACGATTTTAACAACAAAACAATAAGAACCATATGAAACACCCTTTCCAAGAACAATAGCAATGCACACCATCAGAGCTCACCTTGAGATGGGGATAAATTTGCAGCATCTGGTACAGAAGATCTGCCTGGACTCTTTTTGAATAATTTCTTGACACTTTGTCTGTCAAGACACAAATTACACATTAAATAATTACTGATACAAGTCAGCGTGGTTTAATGTTTAGTAAAATATAACACTAAAATCTACTGTAGGTTTAAATAAAGGTAATCATAAAGAAGAATCTAAATTCCATGCTGGTTAGTCCATGAAACATCTGATTCTGGCTAGAGCCATATCAGGTAAATGAACAATTTTCTGATCACCTCAGTCAACTTTAAGTTATCTTGATAAACATTGAATAACAGAAATTACTGAAAAAGAAATCAGATTCCCCATGAATCAATTTCTACATTTTAGTCAAAACAAGCATACAAATGCACACCAGTATTAACTCTTACTTTTTTGATTCTAACTGGAACCTCTTTTTTTCTTCAAATTTGTTGAACTTGAGTTTTCCTCCTGATTCTTCCTCCTCATGCCCCACTACAAAGGAAATTCAAAGCACTCAATAACAATAACAAAAACTGTAAGGATGGTGTTATAGAGTGTGAATGCATGCTTACGAATGACCTTAAAGTTACCATTGATGGTGATAATTATTAAAAACAGAAAAAAAATTTTAATTTTTTTTTCTGCCTTCATTTGCAGATTTGAATTAAGTTTCTTTTGAAAAGCGCTATTAGCTTCCACTAGGAAATCCTTTTAAACCACTGCTAATAGATTTTGTCCCTTTTCAAAGTTATTTAATATCAATAACCGCCAGGTGAGAGGCAAAAAAAGAGGAGATATTCAGACCCTCAGTTAAATATACGTGATTCACTGATTCATAGTTTATTAACAACTATTCACCAGAGTGAATAAGGCTAGTGAGGTGGGTAGTGGTGTTTATTTACCGAGCTGCCAGGCCACAAGGTTAATATCCACCACTCAATTTGTATTTACTAAAAATAGTGAGATAGCACAGCACAAAAAGATGATTTCAACATTATTTTCAAGCACAAATCCTGTGCAGGTTGTGCAAAGATGAATAGCAAAGGATATCTATCCCTGTTTTAGTAAATACTATACCAGGATACAGAAATCAAAGACGATGAATGAATCACAGAATATCAAGCTTTATACCCTCTGTTTGGAAATTGTGAGAGCCACCAGATAACGCATCTTCTCTGCTATGTGATGCAGCTCGTGCCCTCTGCTGCTTAAGATACACCTCTCTGTAGCATACTGAACAGTAACCTCTCCATGCTGGGTTTCCATAGAAACCACAACTACGAAAAGGCAAATCAAGTTTATTAGCACATTTTTCACATCAATTATATAAAGAACCCAAAGTAACTTGACTAGAGTCTCTTCATGTATAATATTAATATACACTTTAAATTTTTCCCAAAAGAGGATATATATTTTTATGCACCTTATCCTAAGCCAAGTTAATTTCACGTACAATTTGGACAGTCACAATTGCATAATAATTTTGGACTGTTTACAGTATCTACACAGTCATATAAACAGAATATTTCACTACAGTGAAAACACTTGTTTAACAGACTGAATAACATGTATGTACACATATTGAAGACCACGACACAATGAAAAACTTTGTTAACATGTAAATACATGTACTGGTAAGTTCAAGTAGCATTTTTTTAAGATGTGAGTACACAAATTTTTTTTTCTCTCTGCAAAGAAACTTCAATTCAAGGATTAATTCAGCTGTAAATTTGGAGACCAGACCAGAACTAAGATTGACATTAAAGATATATTTATTACATTTACAATAGTTGCATTCAAAACTGCATTAGCCACAACAGTTTTGAGTCCTGTATCATAACAATATTGTTCAACATATTACCATGCCTGGTAATAAATGTACAAATAACAGTTTTATATATTAATTGAACCAATATTGATGACGATAAAATATAACTTGTTTAAATGCTCAAACGATATTGAATCTAAAACATCGTACAATAAACACATTTCTTTCATGAAAGCTAAAGGAGTTAACATCAATTGAAAAGGTAAATTTGAAAAGAGGACAGCAGAAATACCAAAAGATGCAAAAGTGTAGTAAACGATAGTTTCAATAAATGTTACCATCCAGAATTACATCAAATCACATGAGAGTCATGAGAGGTCAAATTTCACTGCTATTCTCACAGTATTTCAACGTAACGCAACGTGAGGCCATGAATACCATACAACAAAACCCATCTTTTGTGGTCATTTTACCACTTCCAGACATCTATAATACTAATAAGAGGCCATGAAAACTTGTAAGCGACTGAAAATAATTTTGAAAAATTTTGAGCGCCGGGAACAAATATCATGTAGCTCTTCCAAAACGAAACGAAAAATGTACAGGAAATAGGGAAAAATCGTTTCTCTTCTCTCAGAAATCAACCTTTACCCTAGTTAGGAGTATTTTTCGATTCTACAATCGCAAGAGGACCCTCGTGCAGATATCCTCTTCTCAACATGCATAGATAAACGTTACGTAAAGGAACCTATACGTTTAACGTCGTGAACTTGCGAAAATGATGACTTCGAAGATCTGAACTACATGAACATTAGATGAATTGAAAATGCTCATGACAGCACAAGCGGATGTGAATCCCACACTTACCCCGTTTTACAGCGAAGTTCAGGGTTATTTAACGTCTCGTAAATTTTGGATCGTGTTCTATTCCGATCAGCCATTATTGCCTTTCTTGGAAGCAACTACTCTTGCTATCGAAATGAAAATACCACTTTCAACACTTCCACGAACGTCATCTCGCCATTTTTGTTGACCTAAGGCTCTGGAAGGACTGGTAACGAGTTTTGAGGTTTCCAGGTCTCATCGCTGTTGGCATTCAGCCATGGCGTGTATACCCGCTGTTCCCGTTCTCACATAACTCGTAATGGAGACTTTCGAAATTTCTTTGCTCAGGTAGAAAGGAGTACAACGCTATTCCAAAATTAACTGTATCGGATGCAGTTGTTTTTGGGATAGAAATGTCCTGCTCAATTTCACCCCTTGATTTACACCTAATTGCAATAACGTTGTCTGGTATTCCTCGCCGTAGTACTGAGTCTTCGTCGTTGAGCTATTATTTGTACACGTTTTGTAACGCGCGCAGCAGGATAATGGCCTCCTTTTAAAAAAAATGCTCGTTTATCATATGGCAGAGTAGTTCTGAGGTAAATCTGATTGCACCATGTCAAAAAAGTAATAAAACATGGAGCGATTAGAGAATCGTAGAAATTTTTCATGATGATTTTAACTCCTTGTATTCCACATGTAGGGCTCTTTTACTCCCCTACTATTATTACAAAAGTCTATCGTGATCATCAATAAAATTAATAATTACAATTTGATTTTTTCAAAATTGTAAAACAGTGACCGAAACAGCGTATTGGTCACGGTGTTTTTGCTTCAGTTAAATCTCTAGCTTCCCGTAGCTTTTGAACAAACTGCGTTTATCTTTTCAAAGCCCCTTATTGTCTACGCTTTTGGTTGGACGAGGTTCGATTCCGCATAGAATTTTCTCTTCTTCTCACGCTCGCGTTCAAACGAATAACCTCTCCCTTTATATTACAAATGGAATAGAAATTTACCAAATCATAATTCTAATTCTATCAACTTCGTATGTTTTTCTTACGAATTGGTCATCCGTCCCTCTTGAGTTGTGTTCTGCTTCCAACTTGTGCTTGTTTCTAACAGCGGTAGATGTTCTTGATGTCGATTGATGCCTCCTCGGGGATACGAATTTATGTCAGAATTGGACGACGAGTTGTTTTTCAGAGGAAGGGAAGACCATATTTGCGATTATCACTCAAAATTATGAAACTTTCCTGCTGGTGGAAATGAGGGAGAAGAAAGCTTCCAATGTTTTGATGTTGGAAAACATCAAAACAAAAGTATATTGTAGTAAAGTATTTCTTCCGATAACGTATCACTTGTTAATGATTCACTTTTTTTCTTTTTTTTTTTCCGAGAAACTCAAGTAATAACTGTTTCGAAAAAAATAGCAGACCTTCGGCCATATTTCAAGATAATCAATTCACAAAAGGAGACCAACAGCCCGAGTGTTTACTGTTCTTTAGATTATAATGATCAGGTGACCCGACAGCGCTGTCTCTTAAGCTGTTTTTTCGTTCCATCCTCATTTCATTTTCAGCCTACTATACTTAACACCAGATAAGTGAGCTTTCGGGTGCGGAGCTTAGCCTAAACGTTATGTGCGATCCACAGGACACTCACTTATCAATGTGCGGGTCCACAGGACACTCACCTATCATAATCTCCTTGCAATATGCTTCTAGTTCATTTTTACGTTAGGGAATGTATCGCTCAATCACGAAACTCGATCAGCAGTCCTAAAAGCCAGTCCTTTCTGGAAAATATACCGTTCCTTTACGGAGGGAAAAACCAGGGTTTGTTAATTGCCCATTTAATTCTTTGCTCGAGACGCCATCTACATAGGCATATATTTGGTTTAAAGCATATTACATCGCAAGACTTCAACATCTTGTACCCCGTCAGGTGAGGCGGTTTCTACCTAAGCAGTGACTACGGACTCCCATTTGCGCAAACACTTTATTTCAGCAAAATACAAAAGTTACACATCAATTTCTATTTGTATACGTGTAGGACTGATAGATGCCCCTTGAAAACGCAAGCCACAGGCTATAAAACCTTCCGCTTCACCAACATACTTAAAGGATATGACGGACGGGCCGCAGTTTTCCACGCATAACTACTAAAAAAATTTGAAAAATAGGTTCAACTTTAAATAAAAAATAATAAAAAACACGCATAAATGCAGTGGCCTAAGATAGTCATAACGCGTAGACAAAATGATAAGAAAAGAGGCCTCACTGAAAATTCCTTTTTTCCAGATAATGTAAACAAAATAAGTACACTGCTGTAGAACCAATCAAATCGATTCCTTAAAAACGCGTTCGACAAAAAGCAACAGAAGGATTAAAAAGAAAACAAAAACAAAGAACAGTTGAGCGACAAAGTTTCTAGAATTACGTTTACAACAACAGATGCGTCGCGTCTTGAACTTGGAGTTACGATTGTATTTCTTCTAAATATATCCACACGAAATTAAAACTAAATGTCGATATTGAAAAGAAGTTAAGTTCAGCCTCAAGTTAAAAAACTAGTGGATGCCTTGGTCCATTGAGTCAGCAGTGATTAGCTCATGACACGACCACTACCGCCTGGGCGCAGAAAACGCAGAACTGCTCCTGATTGAACAGCATGAATGTGCCTCCAAGTTTCCCCTATTTTCAAAAAAAGGCAATGAATTGATTGTCGATATATCAAATTATAAAAACAAACAAACAGCAGAACGAGAGAAGATGTGGTGGATGCATGGTTTAGACTCCAATAATTTCACGATAAGCGCATCATGGGTTAGCCATCGAGATGCCAGTACAGTATGTGTTAAAAACATTAAGTAAATAGAATGTTTCTCTTCTCTGGAGCCAATATGTATGGAAAAAAACTATTAAGTACTATACCTTAAAGGTGGGGGGAACCTTGGTTACGTTAAGGCGTAGTGTTCTGGTCAAGGTGTAGGTCTCTTGGAGGAAATAAGAGGTGAGACAGTTATGTCGCGCAAAAACGCATTCCTTCGTTTTGGCTAGTAAAATACGTAAGAAAAGTAACCAACTAAAAGTGCAGATAAAAAGAGAAATTTCGCCAGATACTTTTTCTTGTTTATAAAATGGACCAGTTTTATTTTCTTCATCTTTGCTTATCTTTGTGAGATTTAACATTTGATAAGTTTCGTACTTATAACAACTGTAATGCAAAATACATAATATGAAGAACTTCTCTGTAATAAGTTCTGCTGTTTACCAAAGCTGAAAACCTCTAGGGAGTAACTGAGTGTCTCGGAGAATAAAATAATATTTTTTCTCCTGAATCGTGTGACGAAAAATACCAGGAAATATTTTATGCAGAATAGGTGTAAACTACTCCTTCAATGAATTCAAGGAAATTGTATCTTGATTAAGTATTCCTGATGAATACTCACCATCTGCTGAGAAATAGCAGTGGTATGGCACGTGATCGCAATTCAACTCCTTACTCCGTTCGATGATGGTTTTTCCATCTTTCGTGATGTTGACAAAGAAAGACAAAGAGAAAATGTCTCTCGCTGTAAGGAGAAATATAGAAAAGATTTTATGAGAAACTCTTTGAAATTGTTCGTGTTTAAGACAAACCTAAAACTGAGAAGATTAGTAAGCGATGGGATCACGCTATAAAGGAGAGTGTCGATTATCTTGACTACTTCCTTGGTCTAGCCAAAGAGAATTTTATCCTCTCATGTCCAGTCACAATACAATAAAACGACTCCGTTCTTATTGCCTTCTCTCCACTAAAATATTTGAAGTTAGGTTTGACCACCGACATTGAAACGTTTTTACCGCCAAACTGGAATGTCTGACAACTATTCTCCAACTCGGGTTGATTAAGTGAGCTCTTTTAAAAAGTAACACAACGACTTACCAGGGGTGAACGTAGCCGTGACTTTGACGGAATCAGCAGCTGTTATCACGGGCCATGGAGAAACCTTGTACTTTAAGGTTTTATCCGGAGGACCTGGAATACAACGATGCAATTCAATGCACGCCATGCTGGGCTATCTACAGCTCTACGCCTATAAAGACAACCATCCCCTGGCCCCTATAGTCTTCAAACAGCACCCAGTTTCTTTCTGGACTTATCCTGGACTTCAAAGGGACAAAAAAAGTTGACACCCTAAATTATGCCCTATCAATTGATGATATTTTACACAAGAAAAAATAGGAATACCCTCAAAAATTAGCTAATAATTCATTAAGTAAGGGAGAAATGTTTTACCGCAATATTTCAAACTTTTTACTTCCACTTGTAAGCCAGCGGACAGCATCACGCAGCAAAAGAGGAAGATCCCAGCTTGATAATGAACGTTTGTAGCCATCATTCACAGACTCTGTTGAGTAAGAGAATCAAACGTTTCAATATATCATGAAGACTTGAAAATATTCTCACCCCAAACACTCTCGGATGTCATGTAATACTCACCCAAGAGAACTCTCATGAGGGAGTGCTGCGCGACACAATATGACGGCTTCAAAGGAGATCAGAGGTGAAAACTAACGCAGTGGTCTCGACAACTACTTCTTTACTGCAGGCGCCTTTGATTACAAAAAATCATATTTGTGCTCGAAAGTCTTAGGTCGTACTCGTTATAGATATTGAAGATTTTTCAAAGAATGCACATGAGGCATTAATCAAAGAACGGTGAATTTTTACCAAAAATAATGGACGTGTGGTAATTGTCATTAAATTGATATGAAGCAAACGTTGTAAAAGAATGGCTGTTATTAGACTGTTATAAAAATGTTATCTTTCGGCTATCGAAGTACATGAAGTTTCATTGCGAAAGGCAGTCAGTGGTGACATGCACTGTTAAGAGGAAGCAGTTGTAACCGGTTGACATGTTAAGATGTAAAGGAATCAGCCAACCAATCACGCTTTATGCGGCAAATGTTTGTTTAGCAGACCGTTACGCTTCTAAGTTGAAGTGTTAAGTTTTGCTTCAGAAGATCTAAGAAAGCATGTCTCTTTAAATAAATGATGAACAATTTATGTTTCAAATAAAGGTAAAGTGCTAGAAAATCCCAACTAGCAAGAGGCAGACCAGCTGGCTATTTATACAGCGCGAGGTTTTAAACTGGGAGCGACCGAGAACAAATCCAGAGAGTAGCAGGAGGAACCATATTTACAAGTCCAGCGTCCTAACCAATTGTTAAGTCCCGTCTCCAGATTGCTTACCGTCGAAAAGTACTAGAAAGATAAAGTCGTAGGGTATCAAGGATAGAAGAGATTGCCTTGTGTGATTAATGCAACGCTGATCATCCAAAACAAACTTACATGCACACTTATTAATTACAGAAAACGCAAATCAACACACTCACCCACTAAGGAGCAACTCGCTCGAGATGCGAGGAAGGAACAGTTGTTGATTATTAGAAAGTGGAGGATATATTATATTACAAATGAAATCACCCACGGTTTTTTCCATTGTCAGGAGAAAAAACCCGTACCTTGTTTACGTTATGTTCTAGAATCAATTAGGGGTAAAAACCCCTGAAGCTGATGCTTTTGTTTTCTTTGTCTTTTTTCTTTGTCTTTTTTCTTCCTTAGCTGTCTTAACGGAAGGCTTAACTCAACAAGGGCAAAAATCAGTAGTTTCAATCAAAGGGAAAATCCCTTTTAGCTGATCCTTTTCATTACAACTTCACGTCACCTATGTTTCGTGGGTCGTTAAGTATTCGTATATCATGCTATTGTTTAAGTTCTTGTTGGGTTTCACCCGGAAATGTAAGACCGCTATAGAAATCGGAACGCTCTTTGATGACATGTGAGACAATTTCCTTTTGTTTAACATCCAAAAACGAACAATAACTTCAATTCCGAAAGTTTTACTTTTAATTTCTTAACTACAAAGCAAGGAACGCAACAGATAAAAAACAAAAAAAACGGTTCGCGAGCGCAGTGTCCCACAAACATCTTATTCTTACATCTCGAACAAAGATACTTTCGAAACACTTCAGATTCGACTGGACTCCCTCAGAGGGCCAGTTCGGATCTTTAGATTTTTTCATCAAAAAATGTCGCCACGATATCAACAAACTTAATTCAATCGTAACACCAAGGGAATCTTTCTTCGGAAGAGTGGACTGCACTAAAAAGTCTAAAAAAACGCGAGGATATAGTCATTAAAGCGACCAACAAAGGCGGCGTAGTTGTTGTTTGGCGGGCCGACCTCTACCTATGTTAAGGAACCCAGCTCTGAAACACTACTCCGTTTGGTCGAACTAGTACTCACATTCAATTGCTTTTCATTCGGTGGTAACTACTACAAACAAACTAATGGCGTGGCTATGGGTACAAAAATGGGACCTAGCTACGCCAATCTTTTCGTAGGTTTTATCGAACATCAATTTTTTAGTCAATACCACGGCTCTACGACCGTTAAATTGACGATTGCATCGGCGCTACCTCCTCTACCAGAGAGGAGCTCACTCAATTTATAACCATCGTCAATTCCTTTCATCCGGCTCTTAAATATACCTGGGAAATTTCCGACACTTCTTTGGCTTTTCTAGGCATCAAAATTTCAATTGAAGGCAACGGTTTATGCATTAGTGTTTACTACAAACCGACAGATTCACATAGTTACTTGTTGTATATCTTCACATCCATCACACGTCAAGAATTCCATACCTTTTTCACAGTTTCTCAGACTTCGTCGTTTATGTGGTGAGTTTCGATTGTCATCTACCACGCACTTATCGGAATGTTCGCGAATGTTTTTTTAACAGACCTTTACGTTACTGTTTTCTCGTCACCATATTCCCACCAATAGCGTAGCTCCACTTTCTGCATATCAACATACACAACCCACAATTCCTCCAATCGCTCTAACGAAGGGCTAACGCTCGAAACGTCAGTGTTTTTACCCTTTACCAATTTACGTTTTCAACTCAGTTGTTAACAATAAATTACCTGTCCCACAAACACTTTCTCCAAAAAACTCTAATCAATATCGTCACCAAATTCAGTGCGCCCAAAATTTTTTTTCACGTAATATTATGAGAATCACAATCAGAGCTGAGTCAAAAACGTAACAAACTCAGCGAAAAAATTCTATATTGCCGCTCTGAACTTTCCAAAATCTGTGCCAAAATTCAGGATGCCAATTCGAAACTTTTTAACCATTTGCACCAAATTAAGACCCAAAAACTCGACCAACCTATCGGCCCTCAAATTACAAGCGACTCATGGCCTTAAAAACCTCAAAACTGTAGTTACCATACCAGAAAATTTACTACTTTCCGATTCAGAAAAATCAGTTCTCAGTAAGGGTTTAAATTTTGTTCCCATACCCAAAAAAAACCGACGAATTTTTAGTTAAGCAAGACGTTGAAAAATTCCTTCGCCGCGTTCAGTTGAAAGCTTTTTTTCATGACAAAGAGGATGATTCTAACATCTCGAACGAAGGTACTTTCGAAACACTTCAGGTAACAGAGTTTAAATGGACTCTCCTGGGGGGCCAGTTCGCAAACTTAAATTCAATCGTGAAAAAGGTAAAAAAAACGTTATCTGATTAAAAAGGTTTTAAAAAATATGAGCTTTCGGCTATTATACTATAGCCTTTAACGAATGTAAAAAATATAAGCGCGTGAATGGAAATATATACAGGGGAGGGTGTGAAAAAATTAAAAACTAAAAAATACAATAGAAGTGTGAAAATAAGATAGAATATTGTCTTGGTAACGGTTTAGAGTTATTGTCTGCGCCGACAGTTTTTGCGGTATGCCAAGATTCTAGTGTTTTCCGAACGCGGTAATTACCTTTGTCTATCACGGTAGCGCCCTAAAAGTCAATCGTGTGATTGTTTTCCCAGGCATGGTTGGCAATGTTCGAGCCACTCGTATAGTTTTTAAGATTTCGTTGATGTTCCTTTCTTCGGGTTTTAAACCATCTGCCAGTTTCTCCTACAATTATCCTATTATCCTATAATAGCCGAAAGCTCATATTTTTTAAAACCTTTTTAACCAGAGAACGTTTTTTTACCTTTTTCACTTTGTCATATCCTGGTTACAGTTAAATTCAATCGTAACACCAAATTTTCCAATCTTTCTTCGGAAGAGTGGTCGGCACTAAAAAAGTCCAAAAAAAAACGCAAAAACATAGTCATTAAAGCAACCGACAAAGGCGGCGCAGTTTTTGTTCGGCGGGCCGATCTCTGATGTAAGTTCAATTATTTTCGTGGCTAAGGCATTATTGACATTAATCTACGTAGTAATCAAGTTTGCTTCTATGCTTTTAATGTCGTGGGTATCCGCGTTAACTAAAGTGGTACAAAAGTAGGTTAAGAAAAACGTCATTGTTTACCAAGCGGCACAACTTATTTTCGCAGAAGGTACTGATAAACTGCAACGTAAAGTAACTTAGCCTACTTTAGCTCCAAAAGCACATTGTTGGAAGTATTATTTTCAAACACGAGGCATTTCTCACCGTCTTTTATTGCTGGAGAATTAGAACCTGCTGATGATTTACAGAGCTCAATCATTTTGCCAATTTGGAGCATCAGAATGAACAGATGATTTACAATTTTTTAGTAAAGAAATTAAACATGACGTCAACGTCATTCTGCAGATGTACAAGGAATCTTCAGTTCAATTATGGACACGTCTTACGCTGATGGCAATTTTGTCATCGTGCGTAGCCTCAGGATTCAGTTGTTTGAAGGATGTTCACCCAGGGAATTGTACCTGCCATCACTTTGGTCGAGTACGAGTTCGTGTCAAGTGCACTGGTATAACACAAGTACCCAGTAACTTGCCTGAATATACGGTGTCTCTGTAAGTACAACGTTATTCTCTTACTGTGAAAGTGATTTATAGACCTACTTCAAAATGGCGGCCCTGCACGATTACTCTTCTTCAATGCAAAGAAGCCTTCTTTACGTCGCTTTTTGGAGAACATTCCGTAGTTCAAATGAATAAAAAGGGTAAGTTTCTAAAGAAACTCGGTGGGAGAGTGTAACAGGGTTTTTTTTGTATTATAACTGAGTTGATAACGTAAATTGGCCATCGCTCTGACGAAGGGCTAACGCTCGAAACGTCAGCTTTCAACCTCTTCACGGTGGCCAATTTACGTTATCAACTCAGTTGATAATACTACATTATTCTTTAGTTCAGTTTACGCATGTTGAAGATCTCAGAAAAGCGACGTCACATTGATGTAGAAATATATGGGCAGGGGATGCCCAGAAGACTTGCTAATAATGACACAGTTCTGGTAAATTCAAGTGATCACATGACTTCAGAGGTTAACCAAATGATTTCATAAAGCTAAGGGATTTGATTGTGAACAACAAATATCACCAGCTGTTATTCTTTCTCAGATAGTCCAATATAGCCTATGCTGAGTTTTCGATCAATTTAAGATGATAATAAGGAAAAAATGGAGGGAGAGAGAGAAGGAGGGGGGGAGGGGGAGAGGGAGAGAGAGAATGCGTTGAATGGATATAACTGACTTCCTTTTACAGATGTGGTTTTTTTCTTGCCTGATTGTTCTTCTCTTCCTAGCAAGAGCCTGGTCTAAGCTATTCCAGCATCGTAAGCATCGTATCATAATCAACAATTTTGCGGCACTGACGCATTAAATCTTACCCAGTACTTCCCCATGTAGTATTTTTATTCCTGTGACCAATACTTACAATCAGATACTCGTGTAAATAATTATTTCCTTATGGTTCTCTACTGAAGTTACATTCTTTAAAATATTTCGTTGTCTAGGAATCTTTCAAACAACCGTTTGAAATCTATACCGGAGGAAGCCTTCTCAAATCTGAAATTGCTTAGGGTTATGTGAGTTGATGTTCACGTTGTTATTTTTATCATAGCCGTCAGACTTATTCCTATTTGCTTGCAAGCGATCCGGATCTAGGCTGGATGCATTACATTTATGTAGATCTGCACCGTTTATTCCATGTCCTTTATTTTTTTCCTTTCAACTGGTTCAGCAATTTTATTATTCAATGCTCTTGGGGTCATTTCTCTCAGCAGACACCTCTAAGGATAAGTTCACTTGTCTTCTTTTGTGCTTCAACTGGATTTGTCGCTTAGACACTTGCTGTGTGTCTAATCATGCTTGAGACTTTCACGCATTGCGAATATTTTCAGACACTTTATCGTTATCATTATTACTATTATTGTTATCATTATTATAGATCTCCTTCACAAGCGTGTAAGCCCATTACAGGAGGTTCAAGCGTTTAGCTGCATTAATTTGTTTTTGATCTTGTTGATTGTCATTCTTTTTCTTATCCTCTCAGAGATCTATCGCAAAACGAGTTAAGGGCAATTCCGAAGAACACTTTCCGAAATCTGACGGCTTTGTCAAACGTGTGAGTACTTGCATGATTTTTCATTAAGGGTAAAGAGATAAAATTTCAAGCGGCAAGATTTTGTTCCTATGCTACTGAAGAAGAATCAGCATCCAATTATACATTTTCCCCTTAAAAAAAAAACCCTTAATTTCATTCTGACATAACGCTAGTCACTTTTGATAACCTTAACGAGGCGCCTTGGGTTCAAATGACACTTCCTGTTCATTCATATGTGGAATAGACTCTCTAATATAATGCTTATTCTTGTTATTTTTCGTTTGATCTTAGATGTATCTACCAGAACAACATCAAAGGTGGATTTTTCCTTCCTAAAAGCGTAGTAAAACTGTAAGTTCTAGTTTTTCAAGGTTTTTTTTTATTCTAAGCTACATATCAGAAGTATGCTCAACAATCCATACAAATTTCATCTACACCAATCAAAAATACATATGACATAATGACTCATGAATACCGCGTTTTGAGTGACCTATCCTCTCCGAAACTGTCTTAAAATGCGCCAAAAACTCGGTTATGTTCGCTGTTATATTGAATCATTCCCAGCAAACCTGGCAATTTATCGATGACGTAAAAAGCAATTCTAGTTCTCTTTTTTACCATCCTCTGGACTCAGACCTGAAGACTTTGCTGTAAAAAGCGCAGTGGCTTGTTAAGGATTTTCGTGTATGGCCAATTTGCTGAGTTGTTTTTCAGACTCTTTTCAAAATGGTGATCAGGAATCCAAAGAGGAAGAAAATTTGCGAATTTTTAGGCCACTCTCAGCTTTGGAATCTCAGTTGGGGAAAGTTGTAACAGCGAGGATAAAAAGTATCAGCATACGTCTCCTTTATGTAACTCGAAAATAGGATTTTAAGATTTACTCTGCATCAAATTTGCTTAATTTTTATCCTTATTCTAAAGGAAGCACGTAAGATTTTTCAAGCCAGCCTGAAAATTCAAATTAAGAGTTAAGCCTATACCACGCATTACACAACATTCTGAGTCTGATGGCTCACGAGAATGCGTTGACACGATAAATTGATGTCAAAATCGATGCATGTGCGTTTTCTCTCGTTGTCGTTAAATTGATCAAGATGTAAAGCAAAAACTACTTCTGTTGACCTCGCAAAGAGATTTCCGAACCCTTTTATGAAAATAAACCTTCATCCCTTTATTTGTTTACAGACAGATATCTAACAACGACCTAACGTTGGACGACATGAAAGAGATTTTGCAAAATTCTAAGGATATCGCTTTCCTGTAAGTGTGTGCATCTTTTATGGAAAATATACTCATTTTATGAAGCATGGGATGAGTCTTACTTTTCACTGCGTTAGTTATTGTTGTGGAGTCCAGGTCCGAGTGCAAGCACTCGATTAATTAAAAGTACGTAGGGATATCGGATAGGTGTTGGAGAAACCTGACGAATTACTAAGGGGCTACCACAAAGTTATCACTCAGTACTCTCTTCCCTAAAGCCTGGTTTTCCTACAGCATAAGCTCAAGTGCAAGCACAAACGTTACGCAAGCATAACAGCTCTTTTTTCACCTTGAAAATTACCTCGACGCCAGCATAAACACAAGTGGAAGCAAGAGATCAGATTTTTTCCTTTGTCTTGTGCTTTGCACTTTTGCTTTCATCAAAGCCATCATACGAGCTTTCAAGTTTGCACTTGCGCTTGCGTCGCCCAGTGAGAACCAGGCTTACGTCTCTTACGTATGCTCTTCTCTCTGGTCACTAATCTTTGGAAGGTAGGTAGTTCAGACGTTCATATGATTAATATCATCTAGCTTCACTTGAGTCCAATATTTAAACATGATGAAAGACTTATTTTTAGGCTAATTGCTATTGTTTACATATTATTAAATCCTCGCAGAGACATTTCAGATAACCCCCTTGGACCTAACTTAACTGCAGACATTTTCGCTGGTTTTGACAGGATCGTGTATTTGTAAGAACCGTAATTGTAACATGTTAATAAGATTCATGTAAGATTTATCTCAATAATTTTGGCACCTTTTCAAGGTTTCCACTTTGCCCCAATTAGTACTGCTACAGTTTTTGTTCTTTAAAACCTTTGTTATTTCAGTTTCTAATTCAGTCTTTCCTCGTTTACCACGCGTGTTTTCTTGGCGTGAGATCGCTGGTGATAACAATCAGCAATTCCTGACAGCTGAACATTTCACACAATAATGATGATCCCGTCAAACTTTTAAACTCCTTTCTGATTTTAACGTCATCTACGCCTTCGTCGACGACGTCATCATCGAAAACCCGGGGTGTAGGCAGCTTTTCGACTTGTTGTAGGCCTGTTTCTAAAGAAACTTAAATTTTTGTAATTCTAATTCACTTGAGATGCAGATCGCCATCTACACCTCAAGTGACTACATCGTGATACAAACGATTAAACAGTTTATTTTTACTTACCACCACGATAAGCAATAACCTCTTTTATGATAGTTTGTTATTCTTTACCGCAGAAATATTCGATTGGCAAATTTGACAAAAATTGCTGATGGAGCGTTCAACTCTTTAAGTAAACTCAGTGACTTGTAAGTCCCTGTTTTTATGTTGTAAGTAGAAGTTGGCATGTTTTCTTGCTTTCAGAATTGCTCTTGTTTTTATCCTTCTTAACAAAAAACAATCCCTCATGAACGAAAACTATCACACGAATATGTACCTGCTGCACTAACCTCCTCGTTCCTTAATAATTTCATTAAACCGTGCCGATTCCTATCCAGCTTTTCAGCTTTTTTGTTGTAACAATAACGTGTACATGTTCCCTGTTACCTTTCTATTTCGTGCCCCGTGGCACAAAACGCGTCCACTTGCAGAGGCCTTCGCTAGATGTGCATGACTATACTAAGGTAATCAGTGTCAGTTAACGACTTTTGATTCTTATTTTTAAATACCCCAGGCGGTTAGACGACAACAACTTAACATCTGTGCCCGACTTGACTGGCCTTAAGACGGTGGAGTTAATGTAAGTTTCTATTACTCAAATAGTGGGTTACTTCTCGTGTTGTTATTTTATCTTGCTTCACTTTATCGAAAATCTTTCAAATGGCTTGAAGTGTAATCTTGTAAACACTGAGCCATTTTCTACGCCAAAAATTATAACTAAATTTGCTTAACGTAAACTGCAATTTTACTTTTTAGTTTTCCATCAACTATTCAAAGCCAATTGTAAAATAATTTCTTTTCAATTTCCTTGCTAATTTCGATTTCTTCAGGAGGATTTAACCTTTAACGCTTCAAACTCCTACCGACTATTTGCTCGCATTTTGGACACATACGATATACACTGTACCCTGAGAATTAAGTGGAAATTGGCTCACACGATTCCGTGGAGCAATACATATCTTTTGCAGGTGATAAAAAGCCACAAAATGTAAAAAAGGATGTTTCGTCAGGAAAATGTTTCATATCAATTTTTTTTCTTATCTAAGTTGTAAAAGAATTTAGTCAGCATGAGTCAACTCAAGAGGAGAAAACACGAAAGAAAAAAAAATTACCTCAAGTTTAAGTATGCATCATAACGCATGATTTAACCTTTAATTTCCAAGATCTGATTGTTAATTCTCCCCTCTTGCTACTACACATTGCCTTGTTAATTAGTTATGAGAATATGGTGTTAGAACGAGATAACATCTGCCTGATTAATTTGTGTATTCTTATTACCTGTTTGTTAGATAATGTATGGATATTTTAGGGAGAAGTTACATAATCACTTCTGGGAGTCAGGGTTAACACATACTTTGTATCGCAAATTTTCTATTACATGCAAAGTTTTCAACGAATTAAAAACTAGAGCAACATTGGAGAGTTCCTTCTCTCGATTCCTCTGTCCAATCACAAAACAAACGTTTTGGTGATAACGTTATTAGTGTCGTATCATGCAGTTGTAATTGAGTGAGCTACATTTGGGATTTTTTATTAATGAAACTGAACGTTTTGAAATCATTCATTTGTTTATTAATGTTAAAAAAAATTCTGGTAATTTCACTTCTTTTAACTATTTCCAGGCACTTGGGAAATAATCGAATAAGCAACATATCAAGCCTTGCAACGTCAAGAATCAACTGTGTGAGGGAAATGTAAGCAATGTGCATTTTAAAAAGAGAATTCCCCTTGCAAATTGATTCCTATTTTTAGGGGTGATTCGAATTCCTCAATAGACTTTTTCGTCAGTACGTATGGCAGGCTGGGAAGGCTTGAGTGCATTCACATTTACCTATATGCGCATTGTCTCTCTAGGTCTCTGAGGGAAAATCAGATCGAGCAGCTACCAGCCGAGGTGTTCCAGAATGTGAACGTACTGTACGCTTTGTAAGTTGTGTTTGATTGGATACTGTGACTTACTGATTTCATACTTCACTCATCTACGGCTTCATTTGCGATTGATTGCCTAATATGTCCTATACTTACTTATACAGAGATTTGTCTTTCAACAATAAGCTCTCGTCCATACCAGATCGTGCGTTTTCTGGCCTCAAGCAATTGGAAGTATTGTAAGAGAAAATTTATTTTCACACATGTAACCTGTTTGTAAATAGAATAAGAGAGATGGTTAGTTTTGAGCTCGGTAAAGAAGTAGAGAAAGATGTTTTACGTCTTCAGTTGTCACGAGACTGGGACAAAGAAAAGATTTTGGGTTCCCATGGGATTCGATTCCTCACGGGGACTCAGAATTTTTCTTTGTCCCAGGTTCGTGACAAGACGAAAAACGTCTTACTCCATGCAACCTGCTGTCATCAAAAATTACGAGGTAACCCTAAAACATGCTAATTAGAGAAATATTATTTGAAAACTCTTTATATTGAGATCAAATCTGCCTTTTCTTCTCCTTTGTTTTTTGTTTTGAAATAGTTAGAACACAAAATAAAAAAGGTTTACTTTGAACATCAATGTCATTTTCCCTTAATTAGGTTTCTGCACTTCAACAACATCTCAAAAATTAGCAGCCTTACCTTTGCTGGGCTTAGAAATCTGAAGATGCTGTAAGTAATCTTTTCTCTTTACGTTGACACGAAGAAACTGAATTTTTTGTGTATTATATGAAACGTTTAGAAATTAATTTTAAGATACTGTACCTAACGAAACATACAGACACAGCAAAAAGAAACGTTTACTCTAAAATAGCGCGGAAGAACTAATTAATACAGAACATTACTGGAGGCCTTACTCCAAATCTCCGAGAGAGAGAGAGAGCTGTGTGTTAGAATGGTTTAACAGAAACCTCGAAGCGTCCGTCTTGTTTTTTTTTAAGGATGCTTATCAAGAACAGTCTGACTTATCTTCCTGAAAAGGCTTTTGCTGAAATGTCTTTGAGCTTTTTGTAAGTAACTTGAAATCTATGAATTATTTGCAAATTCTAAGGTGTCACATGGAGATCATTAATATATGTAGATTACTTACGAGATAGTTTGATTCTCTGTTTATTTTTATCTGTAGGTTTTTACATGGAAACCGAATCAAAAACATTGATGCGAATGCTTTTCGCGGCCTCACTGATCTGCGTTTGGTGTAAGTTGTATTGAATAGAAGTAAACTGATATGCTTTTCTTTCAGCTTCGTACATAGTTCTATAGTATTTAGCATTTTAAAAAAAGTTCAGTGTCGATCAATTTTTTAGTTGGTTTGTCTAAATCAGTATCACAATCTTGATGGTTTTATGTCAAGTTTCCCCTTTCCCTTTTTTTTAGTACGGGATGGCATCAAATGTATTCTGCGTGAGGGAAATTGCCATTTTAAAGCAATTCATTCTTAAGCCAATCATATAAACAAATTAACTTCTTGAATTCTAGGACGCTATTTGAAAACCCCGCCTTAATTTCACTTCCAAGAAATGTATTCAATGGACTGACTGAAAATGTTACTTTGTAAGTATAGATAGTTCTCAATCTACTAACTAGGATACATTTCTTCAAAGCCCTTTTTACATTTAATAAGTATGAACTTTGAGTCATTAATAAAATTGCATACCCACTGTTCCTCAATGTAGTTGCTTGGATAAATATTATTATTTGAGATATTTAACAATTTGTAATTCAAGTTGGTTATACCTTCCGAGAGAGACATCTTGTTTTTTTAAGATCACCGAAACCTCTGGTGATGCCAACTAACTTGAAGATGTTTAACCATGCAGTGATAAATAACAAACTGCACAATAATTTTGTTCTTGACTGATCCTGATCTTCGTGCACGGTTCTGACCAAATTTACTTAAGCATACCCCAAACCTCATCTTAAAGTTAAAAGGTTTGAACTTCTTTTTAGAGCTCTCTCCTGCAAAACCCTCAAAGAGCTTCCTCGAGGGATAAACGAGGCAAGAGTGTAAGTAAAAGGTCATGTAGAGCAGTTTTGGTTGTAATTCAGGATCGCTCGGGTTTTGCTGTAAAACTCAGATTAAAAATAACGATTGATTAACCTTGACTTGATAATGTATATCAACAAAGAAAAGAACATTACAGATCAGTCATTCTTTGCTGCCTCGAGGTCATTTACATATAGGGTGCTCAAGTATATTATCTTCAGTTTGATCTACTTTATCAGTTGCAGTAAAATCCGGCTGTGATGTGCTCTGCTGTCTTGTGCTATAATGTATCATGTTTGAACTTTCATCAATGAATTGTCATTTCAGTATCTTTTGGTCTGGTTTGGTGTGGGTCTGAATCCAGGCCATTTAATTTGCCTAACATATAAGCTTTGTGGAACTCTTTAACCTTGAATTACAGTGAACTGTTGCGCCGGCTTTTCAGCCTTTTGGTTTTATTAACAAGTTTTTGTTTTAATTTCTTTCATCAGTGTATGTGCTCCAACAGAATCTTTGTTTGTAATCGTCTCTTACCGAGAACGCCGCTATCAGCGGGATGGTCTTCTAGCCTCCGGCTTTATGTGTCCTAAATGCAGAAAGGAGGTCTATCCCAGATGCCTTAATTGTAGCCTTTGCTCGACGGGCACCTACAGCAGCCGTGATACTACGAATACACATTGCTTGAGGTGCCCTGCAGGTAAATACGATGCTTTACATGTTGCAATTTGTTTTTGGAGACATTTACGTTTAGCTAAAAACCATAAAATGAGTGTCTGATCTCAATGGATAGAGTATCGCTCCCAAATGTTTTATTTTTAGGAGGCTTTTACCAAGACGAAATGGGCCAAATTGACTGTAAGACCTGCTCCATTGGCACTTATGTTCCTGAGATTAACTACCCTGGAAAATCCGCGACTGACTGTCGTGCATGCCCTTACGGTAAGAGAAAATAATGATTGAAATTGAGTTTTGAAAAATTGAGGCAATAATATTGAATAGAAGAGAATTCTTCTTGTAAGAATGCATTACGTATGAATATCTTGAGAAGAATCTCGATTTCAGAAATTCTTGCTACAAGAATAAGGAATTCTTTTCTCAAGAACGAGAATTCTTCCTTTATCATATTGACCCATCTCGTCTCGATAAAGAAGGAATGGGTCAATATGGATGCAAGATTTGCAGCACGTATACCTATGTTCATGAGGAGTAGCATCCTGGAAAAAGTCCTAATGACTATCGTGCATGCCCATACGGTAAGGATCAGGTTCAATAACAAGCTATTGCGTGATTTCACTTTCGTTCTTATTGTCCGATGACCATGATTTTATGCTTTGAAAGATGTGCTTGCTTTTCATTATGATTTTACACATGAACTAATTATCAAACATTTTCTCGCGATTAAGAGTCATTACTGATTGTAGAGCCAGGCTAGGAAAACCAATTTGTTTCGACACCTGTACTGCTAATTTTCGGAAGGCGGTGAGGTAAAACGACTACCCGTCGCTAACCGTAAATTGTTGACCGGGTGCTGTCTGTAAAATTTGGTGTTCTGTCTCTGATGTGTATTACTCCCCATGCAACCATAGGTTTACAATGTTGTGGAGAGCACTGGTGGTTGTACTTTAGCAGAAAGTTTATCCATCTGGCTCTGGTTGTTCAAAGACTGGATAGCGCTCTTGACTGAATAAATCTCGATTCGGTGGATAGCGCAGTACGTTCTGCTCATACTTATCCATTGGACAGCGATTTACCCATTTGATAGATGCCGTGATGATGCCGTAGAACGGCGAAAGCTCGGAGTGAATAAAGAAAGAACCACAGTAGCACTTAAAGGCTTCATTTGATCAAATTCCCACACCATTTGATAGTGTTATCCGTCCTTTGAACAACTGGTCTCTGAAAGATCCCTCAAGAAAGTAAAGGGTTTTCATGTTGGAAAATCCTGATCACTTTGTATTTACATAACATTTCTGTGTTTGTAAACAGGTACTAACACTAATGAAATCGCTGGTTACCGTGCATGTCGATGCCTCCATAAATTCTACCGCTTGGATCGTTTTGGCCCATGCAAATCGTGTCCATATCATGGAATGAACTGTGAGAATGATACTGCAATATTAGCACCAAATTACTTTTGGAAATGGAACAGCTCCGAAAAAATGGAATCTTACAGAAGTTTCGTCCAAAACATCCAAATTACCACAGCTGAGTATAATAAAACCTTCTCCACTTTTGAGGGACTGTTGCCAAAGCCTCTGAAGTGCCCTTATCCAGACTCATGTAAGGGCGGAATAAACTCAACGTGTAGCACTGGCTACCAGGGTACCCTCTGTGCAGCATGTTCCTCGTACCATTATCTTAGATTCAACAGATGTTTAAAATGTCCCAAGTTGGTGGTCACAGTCATTTCTTGTGGTCTGATACTTTTGTTCTTTGTCCTGCTGTTTGTGATTGTTTTCAAGTGCGACTCAAGACGAACAGGAGACAATCGTTTTGTTGCAGATGTCGTTATGTCCTGCATTAAGATCATTATTGGATTCTATCAAGTTCTTGCTGGTATTTTTTCAGCTTTGCTGCATGTACAGTGGCCAATGGTTATTTTATCTGCGGCGAAATGCTTGAAATTTGTTGAAGGAAATATTTTACAGTTCGCACCTCTGAGTTGCATTCACCCTGTGCTCCGCTTGGACCCATTTATTCAATTTGTCCTCGCTGTTACTATAAACGTCTTTGCTGTCTCTTTAATACTGCTTTACCTCTTCTTTAAAATGCTTCTCCTTAACAGGATGGAGAATTCCACTGAAGAAAGCAATTCCAATTTTATAGCGAGAAACACCTTAGAAAGAATGGAGGATACCACAGCAGAAAATGCCTTATATGGAATTGAGAATTCCATGCTAGAGAGTACTTCGGCGTGCTCAAGGGGGGAATCCAAACGGGAAAAAATCTCAAACTTGAAGAAGTCTTGCTACCGAAACATCTTTTTATTTCTCCTGTTGTCTTATCCAATAACAAGTAAGAAGATTATAAACATTCTGCCCCTGCCAGGAGCGTGTGTCAAGGTGTGTTTCTTGAATGATGACAACGATTGTATTTCTCTACTGAAGGCCGACTATTCCATTCCTTGTTCTACCTCTCGACACAGTGACTTTTGGCACATCGCTGCTGGGTTTGCACTGTATCCCATCGCCTTCCCAATTCTGCTGCTGGCACTCCTTTGGAAATGTCGAAAATACCCGCAAAAACACAAACAGTTTAACTTTGGCTTGAAAGTGTTCTATGAGAACTATAAGGACAAGTATTGGTTCTGGGAGATAGTTGAGATGTACCGGAAGCTGATCTTTATTTCAGTCATTCTTCTGTTCGACTCCGAAAGCGATTCTCAAATTGGCTTTGCTGTGATCGCAGCAAGTGCATCAGGAATTGTGTACACCATCTTTCGACCGATGAAAGACAAGTTTGAAGATCGACTACAAACATTTGTGCTTTGGATAATATTCTTTAATGTCTGTCTTGGTGCAGTTTATTCACGGCCCATCTTGAACGAGGGGCATGGAGATAACAATTCGTTATTTGTAAATGTGATGTTTTTGATTCTCAACTGTGCCGTGTTGGTTGTGGCAGTTGGTAAGTCATCTGATCAGAACTTTTTTTCGATCAATACATTGTAACAGCATTGCAGAAGACTTTAGGGGTTTGGACGGAGTTGTTTAATTACTTTTTTCGTAAATGAGCTCTTTACACCGACAAGTACATATCTGTAATGCATTTATACCTTCTTGCACTATACTTAAGTGAAATAGTTGATTCGGTCTTTGGGAGACAAAGTGGTCCGTTTGACACATTAAGTCACAAAAACCTAGTCAAAGTTGTTAAACTTGGTTAGCAGTGAGCCAAATGTATGAACATGTTAGGAAACTTTGACTATTGTTATCCGTTATCTCTTCCGACCTTCACTGAAGGATTACACGTTTTTCCACCGCTGGAAATCAAGAACACTTCCTGATACAATATTTGTAGTACTACTACTTCAAATTACTACTACAAAATACTATTGTCTACTACTATTTAGTTTGCTTTTCTGTAACTTTTCGGTGTGGAAAGTTAATCCGCTATGTGACGTTTCTTTTCCTTTCAGGAAAGGGTCTTTTCCATTTGATACATGGCTGTCGACGCAAAAGAGACCCAGATTATGAGGTCCTGGAGCCAATCTTGGGGGAGGAAGACCATATTGCAGAGTAATGGCCGCTTTGGCGTTACAATGTATAACGTCTTTTTAACCTTTCCTCATCATGTTTACCGCCATTGACTTGCGCCAAAAGCCAATATGATTTAACTGCTGAGATTAAAAGATTGATGGAATTGACTCATCCATAATGTTTGAACTGAGAAAACCAAAAGATCAAACAAGAGAACATAAAATTCACTGGCCAGATTTCAAGACAAAAAAAAACTTAGACTTTACATGTAGTTTATAAATAATAACAATCAGAAATTAGATGAGTAATTGAGAGCTTAATCAACTCAATTGCTTTTTTCCTTTTCATTCTTTTTTGCGGTTCCATCGTTAAATTGAAAATTAAATTGATCGACAAAGAGAGCTTAGCTAGTCATAGCTGCATGTGCTCCACTGTTGGTGGCTGCTGTTTTTTCAGGGCATTTTATTGTTCGAAACTACTTGTACGGCCCTTTTGAGGGGGAAACCTTAACCAGGAACTTGGACTCATTAACTAGACTGCCAAAGCTGTGTTGTAACGTCTCATCTTTTCAGATTCTGTGATGACAACAAGCATAAGAATTCATACCGTCCAATATGTATCTTTGTCGTTGAAGCAAGATAATGACACTTTGTTAAGCTCATAGCTTCCTAGTTGATAATTTTTGCTTCGGATAGTTTTCATTGTATGATGCATTTGTTTGTTATTAAATAATATATCTTTATAGTCTTCATGTTTGATGTTCATGATTTTGATAACATTTTTCTTTTTTCCTTTTGCTGTTTTATCACCTTTATCATCATCTTTAACCCTTTAACTCCCACGAGTGACCAGCAAAGAATTTCTCATTACAATATCAGTAAAATGTCAACCAGGTAAGTGATGAGAATAAAGAAAAATATCAATTTGAGGATAATAATTTGATCCAATACTAAATTCTCTGGACTATCATTATAATAATTGCATGGTTGACAGATGGGAGAATTACACATTTAATCTGGGAGTTAAAGGTTAATATAAGAATACATGTTACTTCTTATACCAACGAATTGGAATGAAACCGCTCTCAAAAGGTATTTGGCAAACTAACGGATAGCATTACTCAGACAGATATTTAACAGAGGACATTTTCTGTCACTGAATGAAAAAGTCAACGATAACTGACGTGAAAGCCTTCAAAATACTCGATCGTTTTTGTTGGCCCGATCCGATTCTTTTCACGCTCATAAATGAAAAGATAGACTATAGAATGACTTGTAATTATTAATAGAGCGCCATGCTCTGTAAGGAATATATTTTTTTATGTTGATGAACAAATTGGTTGTTGAAACTTCTCGGTGTAGAGACATTTTGATCCGTTTAATGTTAAATCATGAGTTTTGACTGTGTCTCAATAAAATTTACCTGATCTCCCCATATGGCTCTGAAACATTTTTAAATGATCCCCCCTCATTGGCAGTCACTTTTCTACAGACCCCCTTCCCCCCCCCCCTTTATACTTTGTTGGTGACAACTAATATCCCCCCGTGTTCCTGAAAGTAATGTGTTCCCCCCCCAAAAAAAATATCCTCTCTTGATGATCCTAAACGTAAAGGATCCAATCTTCTTCTCCCCGTGTTTCCTTAGGCTAACATTTTTTCACGCGATATAAGTACATTGAAACTCCGCGCATGCAAAATTTTTATTTTCCTTCTTCCTTTTCAATTTACCAAAAATTACTTGCTTTAACTTAATTTCACCAGATCACATTTTGATCAAGTTCATATCGTATTGGTAAATCATATGGTATTCTAAATATTAATATCTACCGCTATCATTGTTACGATTGTTCAAGATAAAGCATTTACTTTAAGAGGAATTGGGAATAATAAAATAACTCTTAACGCATCTATACTGATGCTTTCTTTATCGCTGTTCGTTCCATTCTCATTTCATTTTCAGCCCACTATCAGTTAACACCAGATAAGTGAGCTTTCGGGTGCGGAACTTAGCCTAAACGTTATGAGCGATCCACAGGACACTCACCTATCAATGTGCGGGTCCACAGGACACTCACCTATCATAATCTTCTTGTAATATGCTTCTAATTCATTTTTACGTTGGGGAATGTATCGCTCAATCACGAGACACCATCAGTAGTCCTAAAAGCCAGTCCTTTCTGGAAAATGTACTGTTCGTTTACAAAGGAAAAAACCAGGGTCTGTTAATTGCCCATTTGATGCTTTGCTCTAGACGCCATCTACATAGGCATATATTTGGTTTAAAGTATATTACATCGCAAGACTTCAACATCATGTACCCCGTCAGGTGAGGCGGTTTATACCTAAGCAGTGTCTACTGACTCTTGTTTGCGCAAGCACTTAAATTTATTTCAGCAAAATACAAAAGTTACACATCAATTTCTATTTGTATACGCATATGAGTTATAGATATCCCCTTGAAAACGCAAGCCACAGGCTATAAAACCTTTGACTTTACCAAGATATCTAAAGGATATCACGGATGGGCCTTAGTTTTCCACGCATAACTAAAAAAATTTGAAAAATAGCTTCAACTTAAAAAAAATTAAAAAACACGCATAAATGCAGTGACCTAATGCGTAGAAAAAATGGTAAGAGAAGAGGCCTCACTGAAAATTCCTTTTTTCCAGAAAATGTAAACAAAATAAGTACACTGCTGTACAACCATTCAAATCGATTCCTTAACAACGCATTTGACAAAAAGCAACAGAAGGATTAAAAAGAAAACAAAAACAAAGAACAGACTCCAATAATTCCACGATGAGCGCATCATGGGTTAGCCATCGAAATGCCAGTACAGTATTTGTTAAAAACAAGTAAATAGAATGTTTCTCCTCTCTGGAGCCAACATGTATGGAAAAAAACTACTAAGTACTATACCTTAAAGATGGGGGAAAAATTGATTATGTGAAGGCCTGTTCTGGTCAAGGTGTAGGTCTCTAGGAGGATATGAGAGGTGAAACAGTTATGTCGCGCATAAACGCATTCCTTCCTTTTTGGCTAGTAAAATACGTAAGAAAAGTAACCAACTAAAAGTGCAGATAAAAAGAGAAATTTCGCCAGATACTTTCTCTTGTTTATAAAATGGACAAGTTTTATTTTCTTCATCTTTGCTTATCTTTGTGAGATTTAACATTTGATAAGTTTCGTACTTATAACAACTGTAATGCAAAATACATAATATGAAGAACTTCTCTGTAATAAGTTCTGCTGTTTAACAAAGCTGAAAACCTAGAGGGAGTAACTGAGTGTCTCGGCGAATAAAAGAATATTTTTTTCTCCTGAATCGTGTGACGAAAAATATCAGGCAATATTTTTATGCAGAATAGGTGTAAACTACTCCTGCAATACCTTTTGAATTTCGTTAATAATGTGGCAGGAAATTGTATCTTGATTAAGTATTCCTGATGAATACTCACCGTCTGCTGAGAAATAGCAGTGGTATGGCACGTGCTTGCAATTCAACTCCTTATTCCGTTCGATGATGGTTTTTCCATCTTTCGTGACGTTGAAAAAGAGAGACAAAGAGAAAATGTCTCTCGCTGTAAGGAGAAATGTAGAAAAGATTTTATGAGAAACTATTTGAAATTGTTCGTGTTTAAGACAAACCTAAAACTGAGAAGATTAATAAGCGATGGGATCACGCTATAAAGGAGAGTGTCAATTATTTTGACTACTTTCTTGGTCTAGCCAAAGAGAATTTTATCCTCTCGTGTCCAGTCTCTCCACTAAAATATTTGAAGTTAGGTTTGACCACCGACATTGAAACGTTTTCACCGCCAAACTGGAATGTCTGACAACTATTCTCCAACTCGGGTTGATTAAGTGAGCTCTTTTAAAAAGTAACACAACGACTTACCAGGGGTGAACGTAACCGTGACATTGACAGAATCAGCATCTGTCATCACCGGCCATGGAGAAACCTTGTACTTTAAGGTTTTATCCGGAGGACCTGGAATACAACGATGGTATTCAATGCACGCCATGCTGGTCTATCTTCAGCTCTACGCCCATAAAGAAAACCATCCCCTGGCCCCTATAGTCTCCAAACAGCACCCAGTTTCTTTCTGGACTTATCCTGGACTTCAAAGGGACAAAAAAAATTGACATCCTAGATCATTCCCTATCAATTGATGATATTTTACACAAGAAAAAATAGGAATACCCTTAAAAAAAGTAACTAATAATTCATTAAGTAAGGGAGAAATGTTTTACCGCAATATTTCAAACTTTTTACTTCCACTTGTAAGGCAGCGGACAGCATCACGCAGCAAAAGAGGAAGATCACAGCTTGATAATAAACGTTTGTGGCCATTATTCACAGACTCTGTTGAGTGAGAGGATCAAGAGTTTGAATACATCATGAAGACTTGAAAATATGCTCACCCTAAACACTCTCGGGTGTCATGCAATGCTCGCCGAAGAGAACTCTCACGAGGGAGCGCTGCGCAACACCATATGACGGCTTCAAAGGAGATAAGGGGTGAAAACTAACGAAGTGGTCTCAGCAATTACTTCTTTAATGCAGGCGCCTTTGATTAAAAAAAACTCATATTTGTGCTTGAAAGTCTTAGGTTGTACTCGTTACAGGTATTGAAGATTTTTATTTAAAAGAATGCACATGGGGCATTAATCAAAGAACGGTGAATTTTTACCAAAAATAATGGACATGTGGTGATTGTCATTAAATTGATATTAAGTTAACGTTATGAAAGAATGGCTGTTATTTGACTGTTATAAAAATGTTATCTTTCGGCTCTTTAAGTACATGAAATTTCATTGCGACAGGCAGTCACTGATGACATGCACTGTTAAGAGGAAGCAATTAGAACCGGTTAACATGTTGAGATGTAAAGGAATCAGCCAATCAATCACGCTTTATGCGGCAAATGTTTGTTTAGCAGACCGTTACGCTTCTAAGTTGAAGTGTTAAGTTTTGCTTCAGAAGATCCAGGAAAGCATGTCTCTATAAATAAATGATGAACAATTTATGTCTCAAATAAAG